TGAGGTCCAGGAGGTGCATGAGGATTGGCTGGTGTTCCCTGCCAGGGGAAATTTAGGGTCACCCTATTCCTCATGGGGCTGGTGCCCGGTGGTGCTCCAGGTTCTCCAGCTGCCCCAAGATGCAGCATCCATAAAAGCTTGCAAGCTTTTCATGAGGTTGTTTTTGGGTTGGTTTGTTTGTTTGTTTGGAGGAGGGGGAAGTAATGTGGCCTTTTTCTTTTCCTCAGTACTACTATAACATAAACCTGCATCCTCAAATTCTCCCTTTTTTCCTAATTTGGATAAATGTTGAAGTTTTACTGATCTTGTTCTCCAGCCCTCCCTTGTGTTTTGTTCATGTAACTTCACATCAGTCTTCTTTTCACTTTATTTTATCCTGCAGTCCTTTTTTGAAAAGTAATATCAGGCATGCAAATCCTGTAAAAGTAATAAAATAGAAGAGGTGTTAACTAATAGACAATATATGTCTACCCAAGGCGTTCAGTACTTGCCAGTGAGAAGCATTTTAGATTTGAAAACCAATATTTTAAAGGAGAATGAGACCCGCATAAGTGAACAAAAATTCAAAGCAGGTGTTTCCTATAACAATAGTCACATTTTAAGAAATTTTTATGTATGTTTTAAAAAAATCCTGCTTAAGTTTGCATATTACTTTTCATATCCAAGTTTACTAGAACAGTGAATATGGAATGGTATTGAACCATACCTGAAGTGTGGTGGGATCAGCATTTGTTCATTTTCTATGCTAACTTCAAATGAAATTGAAAGGAGGTGAACGCCCTGAAGACAATAAAATGTGCTAATGTGCAACATCTCTGTGGCAGGTGGAACATGCTAGTTAAACAACACAAATTGGTTTTCAAAGGTGTGACACTTAGGGTTGGTTTATGAATTAAGTTCTGGAGTCAGTGCTTATGATGCATGTAAATAAACAAAAACCACTCGAAACAACACAGAAGAGAGAAAGTCTCAAGCCATTATGATATAGTCATGAAAACATAATGAGTGGAGCATGAGAGCTTAATTCAGGTGATGTAAAGACCTAACACTTGCTGCTCTTCAAAATATTCCATCATTTCTAAGTAAACGTTATGACAATAACATTACTTAGACAACAAGGTTTGACTGCACTGAATTTGTATCCTTTGCTATTGAAAAGAAAACATTGAACAGGATGAAAAAGACCCCACTTTTATGTAAATATAATATGGAGGCTTTCTTTATGTCCCATGGCTTGTAGGCAGTAAGGGTAGGGCAAAAGTGTTCAGATGATGCACCTGAATGACAGAATTAGCTGTGAGTTTGAAATAAGGCTGTTTGCTTGTAGAAGTTTTAATTCTGTATTTTTTGAATAAAGGTATTTATTTTATTTTCTCTCATCGTATCACTGCCCGCCTTTTTTGCTTCCCTCCTCTTGTGGTGGTATTGTAAATTTGTCATCAATACAGTTTTCTTTCTGTGAAAAAAAATACTTACTCCATGGTAGTTGCTACCTTCTGTGTACAAAAATAAGTTGAGGCGTACAAAACCAAACCCACAAACAAACCTTTTTATATTAATGTATCAGGTGCTTACAATTTTCCACTGTCCTGCACTGATAAGATAAATTATCATTCCTCCTTAGCTCTCCACATACTTATTTTCCTTTAAAAATGTACACAAAGGAATTTTGAAGGGCATTTTGTTTGGTTGAAAGTCTTAAAGGATAGTTGTGATTTGACTTTGTGAGAAGTAAAATTAGATGTAGACTAAAATTCCAATTCATAGCAATTGCCTAATGACTGGAATTCTAAAACAGGCCAATTTTATTTGACTTTTCCAGACAACTGCTCTTTGGCTTTCAGAGCAAACTTACCAATTTTCTTGATAAAATGAATTCTGTTAGCCACAGTCAAAGGTGGTGGCTAAAATTAGAGTTAGTTTGCAGCCCTAGCTATGAGCAGGCTGCTGTCTGTCTGTAATTTCTCTAAGAGGATTGTGCCTACTTTAGTAACAGTTTATTTTGTTGAAGTATGTGATTTTTACGATTTTTTTACATAGCACATTGGAGTTGTGTTTGTTGAAATTTTTGTTAGGTTTGGTTTAGCTTGGCTTGTGGGATGGAGACTTGGAAATATCTTGAGTTAAAGTGTAGTACCTTCAAGGTAAAATGTCCTAGGCATTGATACACTAATGAAGGCAGCATGCTGATGTTGCAGTTAATACTGTATTTCCTTTCCTTGTATTTTGTATTCCATTTGTATGTATTCCTTTGCACTTCACTCCAAGTACACTGTTTAAAAGGGAAATAATGAGTTGGCTTATTGGGTAATCTCATCAGAAAGTGCAGCCCTGAAGTTTGCAAAGGTCATGCTTGTCACTGAGCTGGATGGAGGCAGAAATTTCTTACCTGTCATCGAGGGCATGTAGTAAGTGACATTTTAGTAATATATGGAAACACATCCATATTAAAAAAAAATTTAAAAATTGCGTAGTCTACAGGTAAAAATGATGTTCCCTTTCCAAAAATGGAGTTATTGAGGAATGAGGTATTGTCATTATAACTGAATAAAGAAAGTGACGTATTCGTGGGGCAGACTGCAAAAGGAGGACATTCATTTGAAATGGTATGGTGTGGAAAATACATAGAAAGTGGCAAAAATAAGTGAATGGGGTAGAAAGTCTCCTGAAATGTTATCTTCAAGTTCCAAAGTGTTTGGCTGAAGAAAATCCACCTTTGTCATACCTGGCTCTCTGTTAGTTCCTTAGGTTTTAAGGAGGAAGAGTTTGAATAGGATTATGGGGGGAAAATCATTAATGTAAAAACTGTAGAGTTGGCTGAAGAGGAGAGACACATTTTTTGGGGTATCTGTAGTTTTATTGGATGTGGAGAGGCTTTTACTTATCACAAGGTGCAACATTTTCTCTTCTGAGAGGTGCCTTTGGTGGAAAAAATGCAACTGTGAGCAATGCCTAGAGTGCTGTTTTGCTTCAACATGAGTACCAGAAGTATGTCCTTGGTTCAGGGTGTTAAGTAACTTTTAATAAGTAAAAGAAAAGAAATAAATAAGTAAAGAAAAGAAATGGTAGTGTTGTGGCAGAACCGAAAGAGAACATTAAACTAATGTGTTCCACCACTGGTTTTGGAACAGAGTGATAGGCACCGCTCCTCCCCAGACATTTTCCTCCTTTACTACAGCAGAGTAAAACACTGTCAATGGTAAATTTAGACAAACAAAGATAAAAAAGCCCAGAGCAAAACAAAAAGTGGATGCCCCATTCCTGGAAGTGTTCATGGCCTATCTAGATGGGGCTTTGAGCAACCTGGTGTAGTGGTAGTGTCCCTGCCCAGGGCAGAGGTTTGGAGCTGTATGATCATTAAGATCCCCTCCAACCCAAACCATTCTATGATTCTGTGAGCTTAGATAAAAGAGAAGATAATAAAATTGTCAAACAATGAAGTGACCACTGAAAGAACCATTTGGTTTGGGGTTTTGGTTGGCTGTTTGATTTAGGGTGGCTTTTTGTTTACTTTTCCTTTGTTTGGCCAGTTGTTAGTTTGACAGGTGAACCCATAATTTTTAATTTCGATGATGCTGTTAGTGGACGTTAGAGCTGCAGTGAAGGTTTGTGGTGGGGTTGATGTTGGTGAGGCAGATCAGCCACGGCCACACGCGTGCCCGATTTAACGGCCACTTCCTGCTCTATGGAGGCTGCACCTGTGTGCCAGCAGCCCAACACGCTCTGCTTGGAGGAGAGCCCTGCTGGCCTGCTTGCTGCTGCCACCTGCTTTGTCAAGTGCTTGGTTTGTTACACCGTCAGTGTCCAGGCTCTTCCCATAAAGCAAACGGGTTATCTCCCAGTGCACTCCAAAAGCAGGAATGCAGGACTGAAGTTTGCTGAAGGTCTGCGAACCATGAAGATGTGCCTCAAGAGGTCTCAGTGGGACACGTCAATGAGTAGAAAACCAAGTTGGAAACAAGGTGCTAGGGAAACCTATTCAGCACATGCAGTTGTTTCCTTGTAGTAGGGAGCACCTTCTCCCTCTCTTCTTGCAATATTTTTCAAGTGTAGATCACTCATGTTAAATATATAGCTGGGAACATCTTGTGTTAAGTAGAGATATGAACCTGAACAGAAGAAGAGGTCAAGCGTGGAAATAAATTCCAGTCAGTACTGGATGATTGAGAAGTCCCTTTTCTCTCACTCACTCTTGTTTGGAGAGGTGGTGCTTGAATTCACTTCAGAAATGAGGAGAAAAAAAGTACAGCTAGGGTATTTTTAAAGGAAAAAAAAGAGAAAAACAACTTACTCTTTAAATTCACATTAGCACCTGGAAGTGGGTGGCTCAACCCTGTAATCATCTGCATCATCATCATATTACCTTTGCCTGATCAGAGTATGGAGTAATACATTTTGTGATGTCCACATCATGCTTGAATTTTTATATAAATGTTCTTGCTGTTTAGGACACAAGTGTTTGAGTAGCAAACAAACAATTTGAGATGGTTTAATAGAGCCTCATAGTTAGCCCACTTACTTCTGTGGACCACTTTTGGAAAAGAAGATTGATTTCTCCATAGACCAAAGCCTCTTCTCAGTTCTCCAGTGCTCCAGCATACTTTGTGGTCACAGCAGCAAGCACATTCTTTTTATCACTGAATGCTTCAAAGATGCAACGTGGGTGTGACGTGCCCCTTTCAAAAACCATAACTCTGCAATAAGCTTTCTTTAGCCATATTGTGTACGTGCTTGAGGGGATTAGTATTAGATTTTTGGTGGGTTTTTTTGTTTTTTTTTTTTTTTTTTGGAAGTCATTGGAAAGCAAAAGACTAAATCTATTTTGATTTCACTAGGGATAGATTAATGGGTGTCAAATGTTACACAATACTTGACACATCCGCTGCTGTTAAGTTGGCCGTGGCAAAGGGATTACCCGATAATGAATCACCAAGCTCTTCAGCTGTTTAAAGGGAATCGTGCCACTTCCTTGCCCTGGTAGGACTCTCTTCCCTTCCCGGGACCTTGCTGAGACAGTGCGTGTTTGGACGTGGAAAACTCCACGCAGATGTGCAAGCACCGGTTTAACAGCTTTGTGTTCAGCTTCTACCTTGCTAATTGTTTTCGTGGGATTATTTGGATTGTGTAGAAAGCTTTTTCCAAATCCCCTTTATTACTGATGTTATTGTTGCCAGCAGGAATAAGATTAAAGGTGCTTAAGTCTGTAGAGTTGTTTCTAATTTGTACGTGTCATTTCAGTGGCATTTGAACAGAACTCTGTCTCTTCCCCTCCCTGATCCCCTGTGGTACTGTGCTTGAGTTAGGGCTGAGAAGCCAAGCTATTGGAAGAAAATTCATTTTGTTCCCTAATTATTATGCTGGCACTCGGGAGATAATTTTTCCCTTCATGCACTGCCAATTAATATGCAAATGAGCTGATAAATATTTATACCGTGATTTAAATTATGCAGGGAGCGCTTTCAGTGTACTCTGCAAATGAATTGTTCATGGACTTCAAAGTGCTGGCTGCTGTGCTAACGAGAGGAGATTTGCATAAGGCCCTAATCAGGCGCATACTGATTAAGCTTCATTATGGAAACTGCCAGCTGCAATCTTTGTTTCTATTTTATTACAAAAAGGGGAACTTTTCACGCTTCAGTCGCCTTGACAATGTCAGACACAGCTAGTAGTAGAGACTAAAACTCCACACAGCAACTGAAGTTTCCCTGTTCAGTTGAAGATTGCTATGGTGTAACTGAAGTTGTATTTCTCCCCCCACCTCCCCACTCCCTTTCATGTTCAGTCAGAGCAGTAGTGTAGATTTGATAGAAATTGCCATTCTCCCGTTCCTTGGACTATCTGAACCTGTAGAGGATACCACAGCAATGCTGGACTGCAGCGACTACGTTCTAGGTGGGTACCAGCTCAGCTCTTTCTTACAGACACCGAGGCTGGGAGATTGACTATGCATAGTGGCTTAATCACATATGCAGAAGGTATTTTTGGGGCTGAAGCTCACCAGTGAATCGGCAGCAAGGAGCTGCCTGCTAGATGGATAGCTCGATCTGTACCAAGGAAATACATGCTTTGGTTTGTTTGTTTGTTTTGCTCTTTTCCCTCGCTCCAGGAGAATTCGTTTCCTCTGCACAGACTTGGGTGATATTAATACAGACCTTTTGCTTTTAGGATTTCAGTCTGAGAAGCATTTGCCTTTCCACAAACACTGGGCTTGACTTGCATATCTGTGTGTTACGAATTTTAAAGCATTAAAATGAATGAGAGGGAGCCTAAGTGTTGAAGGAATTTAGTAACTGTATTGAGCCATTCCACAACAGAATGTATGTTATGTCTGTGTATTTTTAATATAGCAAGGTTCTTCGTGTGTAATAGAAAATAAGGGGGAGTGCACAGTGGTTGCCATTGATACCGTTGCAAGCTGTGTTTAAGGTTACTGGGATAATACATTTCCTGCGCTGAGATTCCATCAGGACTGCAGAACAGACATGCCATAATTCCTTCTTCGTGTCTTTTAAAGTTATTTATAGTAATGGATCATCTCAATTTTACAATGGGTTTTATTTATTTTCAAGGCTTTTCCCCCTGAAGCTCAATGTATATATATATGTATATACATATATATTTTATTATTCTTTTCATTCCATCATATAAGTTCATCTTATAAGAACTTACATCTCTAAGTAAAATAATATATTTTTGATGGTAAATTTTAAAGCAGATGTTTGAGTATGTTTGTTTCTGAATATGATGTGATTTTTGAAAATTAATTTCTGAATAATTCTTGTCATGTTTTCACTCACAAACTTTATTTTATCCATGCACATAAATGAATCATTTTTGCTGGTGCAAATGGGGTATTAGGCTGTTCCACTTTAATGAGTGAAAGGAAACAGTTAATGGTATATACCGCATTAAGATTTTCTTTGCTTTGCCAGCTGTGTACAGTCCTCATAATGCTTCAGGTTGGTCCTGTGTCCACTGCTTCTTTCTCCTGAATGCCTTTGGAAATGTTCCTGAGGGTGTGTGAAAGGCTGGCACAGCACTGCCTGGCAACACCTCAGCCCTGCTAGCAGAGTAGCAGCGTGGAATGTATTCACTCCTGAGAGTTTGATTTCAATCATGCACCTGCTGCTTTCGATCCTTCCTTCTGGGGAGTTTGTTTTTAGATAATGTTGGCAGAAGTTGTAGCCCAGGGCCTTTATTTAAAACCCAAAGAAGATCTAAAGGAAGAAAAAAGGTGAAGGCATAAGGGTTTGGGGTTTTTTAGCCCACTTCATTTGTTTATTCTTTTAAGTTTGAAGCAGAAATTGAAGGAGCACGTATAAACCAAGTAGCCTTTTTATTCGACATCGAATGAAGCGGTAGGTTGGGTATCCCGCGGATATGAGCGTGTTTTGCTGGTAGCAGTTTTGTGCTTCAGATGGATGTCATACCATTTGCAATGGAAATAGCGGCATTGTTCTTGATGCTTTACATGCAGAAGGCCCACAGACTGAACAAGGAATAGTCAGCTGGTGAAATAATGGATGCTATCCTTCACTTGAACCTGAGCACTACCAGAAAGATGTTTATCCTTCTTTCAACTTGCTGCTTTTTTCAATAGCAATGTTTGGGGTCTTTGTTAAGGAAGGATCTTTACAATAAAATATTCTTAATTTAGACAAGCTTTTGGTAGTTAAGTAAACTTTGTGTATGTCTAGTACTAAAAAACCTATTCTAGAAGGATTTTTTTTGCAGCATAGCCTGACAGAAAAACGTGTCCTGGCTTGCTTTTTGGAAAGAGGTCTGTACAGTGATAACTTTGTGTGACTGAGCTAACTTCCTCATCGTGTAGGAAGGCTTCTTGTGTGAGCTTCCTCATAGGGCAGAACAGTGTCTACCCTGCTTGAGTTCTGTGCACAGGACACCTGTGTTCCTCCTCTGGGTATGTTTGCTTTGCTTGTTCTATCATTAGTATCCTGCACCTTGGCTCTAATACTTCAATTCCTGCAACAAGCTAGCAACAGGAGACCTTCTGTTGTTTTTCTAGTATGAATTTTCTGAAGTGGTTCAGCAAGTGGATTCCATATTTCTGAGAGACAACCTTCTCAACCTATGCTCTTCCCTTTTGCAGTCAGTTGCATCTTGAGTTCAAGCTATTCTTCTGCTCTGGGCTTAAAAATTACATCCTGTATCCGGTAGCCTCATGAGTTTGCCTGGTTTCCACAACCAAATGTATTTGACTTGTAGAAACTATTTACTCGTTTTCCTGTTGGATGAGGACTCTTCATATTTAAGTCCAAATCAAAGGATTCCCACTTGGTGCTCTCTAAAGTGACATTTCAGTAGCCATCTGTGTGTAAAGGAATGAACTAATGCTGCCTATCAAATGCATGTTGCCTGTAATCACTCTAAACAAGTGTGCTGTTGCCACAACAATAAACTCAATTTAAGATATATACAATGTCTAGATAGAAACATGGATATATAAGCAGAGAGGGCCAAGTCTATACAGAAATATCTGCTCTTGTCAGTGGAACCTGTGTTCTGTTTCTAGAATGTGAATCATGCTGTCCAAATATGGAAAATGACAAAATAAGGAGCCTGGAAGCAATAGGTTCTGTACCTGCAACCTTAGCAGAGCTCTGGTTTTCAAGACTGTGAATCTGTAGCTTGAATGTGCTAAGCAGAGGTTGTGAAAAACAGGGCAAAACTTGCTGAAGTGTGAGCCAACAGCACTCAGCTGCAAAGTTTCTCCTCTTTCCTCAAAGTTCCCTCCCTCTTTCAAAAAGCAGTTGAACACGTCTGCTTTTATACTAGGGGTAACATTGATGGTCCAGATCTCTTTTACACATGGCTAAGCATTTGAAAGCTTTAAGAATAGGCACAGGAACATTCTGAGAAGAGTTGAGGCTCTGGAGAGGTTGTGTTAACTTGTCAGGGGAAGTTTTGTGGTTGTTACAGTCCTCTGGATTTTCAAGGCTCTATTGGGTTCGACTGCTACAGTCATTTGTGTGGAAAATTATATTAGTTTTAAAAATATCGATCACAGAATCATAGAATTATTTGGTTTGGAAGGGACCTTAAAGATTATCCAGTTTCAATCCTCCAACCCCCCTGTCATGGGTAGGGACACCTTGCTTTAGATTAGGTTGCTCAGAACCCCATCCACACTGACCTTAAAAACTTTCAGGATGGGGCATCCACCACATCTCTGGGCACCCTGTTCCAGAGCCTCACCACCCTCACAGTGACACTTTCTTTCTAATATCCAGTCCAAACTTACCCTCTTTCAGTTTAAAGCCATTCTCCCCTGTCACTACATGCCCTTCTAAAAATTCCCTCTCTAGCTCTCTTGCAGCTTCTTTAGGTACTGGGAGGCTGCTGTAAAGCCTTCATGGAGCCTTCTCCAGGCTCTACAACCCCAACTCTCTCAGCCTTTCCCCATGGCTGAGGTGCTGCAGCCCTCTGAGCATCTTGGTGGCCTCTGAACTCACTCCAACAGGTCCCTGTCTTTCCTGTGCACTGATAGTAGCAGGTACTTGGCAATAGTCCATTTTTTTATTTCCAGCTTTCATGGACTGCCCAGCACTGAGGTGTCTGGGCATTCTTGGAACTGTGTGGGGGAAAGATGCAGCACAGTTAATGCTGCTCCTGTGTTCTTCTTCAGCCTATTGGTATTTTGGAAATCACTGCTTTGATGAAAGTACATGACAGAGGTAACCTTTTAAGCACCTAGCAAGAGAATATCCTGGAGTAAAGGGTTCATTTTAAGCTCATTGAACTTGCTTTTAGCTCATTATGGGAATGGAAGAGTGTGCTCAAGGATTTGCTTACACTTCATTTTATGAGCTGTTCTGTCTTGAGATTCTTTTTGTAATTTTGGTTTGTGATAATGTGGCACTCTGGGGTCGGTGGCAAGGAATGAGGAGGTAATAAGCTGGAAAGCTGATGCTGTACAGAGAACATCTGTATAGATTCCTATATAAGGAAACTATATTCTCTGTCTGCCATCTGGAGAGGCCCTCTGCATTGTACTGTATTCAGCTGACAGGCTTTGAAACCAGGAAGAGACTTTTCAATACATTCATCCAGAGGGAGAAAGAGGAATTAATTTATACTTGTATGGTTTTGCATGAATATATAGGAAATATAAGATAACTTAGTGTCAGTGACATTCCAGTAAAATAGAAATGCAGTATTAGGAAAATGGCATCCATTTAATTATAATGACTGAATTTCCTTTCTTTTGTCGGGGTGGGGCAGGGGGAACAAACACAAGAATAATATAGTCCATGATGGTCAGACTTAATGTTTTTGAATCTTGGTGTAATCATTGTTCCTTCTTCCCTCCTCCTATTTTTTCTTCTATGAATTTCATTGTATTGAAAATTAAGTTCCTACATATCACTGCCCTCCAGCATGCTGTCTTTTATTCCCTTAATACCATGTTTTCACATATGGGAATAATGTCATAGAAAATTTTGAAATATTTATCTGTAAGATTCAGTATTGTGTTCTGGTTTTGGTTGTTGTTTTTTTATGTTAAAATCTGAATTAGGGTAAAGTACATAGCAAATTTCTGCTGCTCTGTACTTCCCTTGAACAAAAAGGTATGAACAGATTTGGGGATTTTTTGCTGTATTGTTTAATCTTTCTTTGTGTTTTGATGCAGACTCAAGAATGAACAATCCGTCAGAAACCAGTAAACCATCGATGGAGAGTGGGGACGGGAACACAGGTAAGAAATGATCAATTGGTGCAGATATTTTCTGGTGGAATTGAATGGATATTAAAAGCAAAACTTCTTCACCCATTTAGTGGGATTTTAAAAACCCACAAAGCCAAACAAATAAAAACCTACACCCTGTGATATTAGAAAACTGGGAATACTTCTGTCATTAACCTTACTGCATACAGGGCATTATTCATACCTACTTTATTGAGGCACCATCCATACTTTTTATATGAGGTTTCCCTTTCCCACTTTTTCTATCTGTAACGTTTCTGATACTACAGAAGCTCTGGTGGCACTAGCTCTGCATAAATAGTCTCATTTTTTCCTGGCAGAGCATACCTTTGGCACTTTTAACCTCATAGTTTATTTTTGGGTTGAAATTTTCCCTGGCAGATGTGAGCCACTGCCTGATCTTGTTTCCATTTTAGATTTCATTCAAGCTGTCACAACAGTTCTCAAGAACAAGTCAAATGGAGAAAGCATAATATATCAAAATGAAAAAAAAAAAGTTAGCCAGCTTTTCTGTAGTTTCTTAGTGTGTTAGAACAGAACCTTGAAATTTGGTGGGGAAGAACAGATGTTGTGTCAGGGCCAGTCTGCCTTTTGGCATGCTTTTAAGATGTGACCAAATTCTAAGCCATTGAAGAAGCTTGTTGAGCCACTATAACTTAATCGTGTTATCTCATGCTTGAATTCCTTTCTGGAGGTAATATAATGCTCATTCTGAAAGCAAGAGAAATTACAGTTCTGAATGGAAAGTGAGTAGTTTAGCCTAGCTCAGAATCTTTTCTCTGCTCAGAATAGTGTTTGGGAAGAGAACATTCTGATGAGAGAGAACTTGTTGCTTTGAGGGAAGTCTGGTTACCTTGTTATGAGGAAAACAAGTTTTCCTCTTCATGGTTCGATAATAAGAGTTTTATTTTAAACTCTGGAGTTGTGATGAAATTAACACTATTAAATTTTGTTTATCTGAGAGGCTGGATTTTTTTTGCCAATATATGGGTGCAGTCAAAAGGAACTCTGCCTGCTTATTAATGTACGTTTTGTTGCTGGCATCTCAGGTTCTATAATTGTCATTGTATTTTTAATGTGAGAGATATCAATTATTTTTCTGCACAGAAGTGTTCTATTATGTATTTAATGGTTTAAGATTATATAAAATATTATTTCTAAAACATATGGGCCATAAATATTTCATGATCATAAACAGCATCAAGGGAACAATGGTTGTAAATATCCCTGTGGACTCCTTGTAGCTGGAGGATGTGTGTAAACTTCTGAGAAAATTCAGATTTCCTCCCCTGTGTGACCACAGTTCCCTGCATGTGCTTTCTCCAGAGTGCACTTCTCTCAGTGCAACTTTAGCAGTTCCATCTCAGCTGGGCTGGTAAGGAGGAGGATTTGTTTTATTCAAAGGTAGTCAGTCAATTATCACAGGAGCATTGCATCTGTTTCAGCAGAGCTCAGCTCTCTTAGGCAAATATTTCATCATTGTGAAGGTGGGGGTCATGACATAAAATAAATGGATTGTAAACTGCATGTAGGTCCTTTCATGTTAAAAGGGGATACAATGACTATTTTTTAGTACTTTAACATTAAAGCTAGTTATTACAAAAGTTTGACTGGTTTAAAACTTTTCGAATATTGCTTCTTTAGTTTAAATGTTTCCAGTCTTTCCTTCCAGTTTTGTATCCTGATTTTTAAATTATATGAACTAAAGTAATCCAGAATTTTTGAAGACTCTCTGTTCTGCAGTCATTGCTTTGTTTTAAAATGTAGTGCTCCTAAACCACTGGAGATAGTGATTGATGGCATTTGTGATGTTCTTTGGGAGCTCAAGCATTGGTTGTATTAGTCAACTTGGCAGATGTTAGGCTCTGAAAGGAATACTCACAGAATGTAATTTTAGGCTTCTGATCGGGGTACTTAGATTATGGTTCTGGGCTCAGTGCATACTTGAGTGAAAAGAAGTCAGCTTTCAGCTCGAATGCTGAGGAACTGGAAGTGCCATTGATTTTCTGTCAGTGCCTGTGCTCCCCAGATAATGCGTGATGATGATTTTTATAAACACTCAGAGTTCTTATTTTTGTAACTTTCTCCAACTGTCTGCTTTCCAGTGACATTTGTAAATCACTTGAGTCTGCTGTGTAAACACTAATTGTCTATCTTTTAAACTTCAGTGGATGCTTGTTTGGGTCATTCCTGTTTTAAACTGGAGTAAGATAATGCGACTTGAAAATGTTAAGAGAAATTACTGTGGAGCGTGAATTTACATTTGGCAGAGCTGGTGTTCTCAGGAAAAAAACCCAACAGTTACCACTGGTTAAAGATGGCAAACATCAGTAGTTCTCTGAGCTATCTGCTAAGTTCCATGAAAGTTAACAAATTTGGGTTTTTTATTTTTATGTCTATTACGAGGAAACATCATAAAGTCCCCTAAATATATTCATCACAATACAGCCCCTGAAATATGTTATGGCTTTATATTTTTTGTGCTAACTGGACTTCCCTTTTAAGCATCTGAAAAACCAACCCATATTTCAGACCAATTAAAAACAACAACCAAAACACATGAGTGCAGGAGCTGTTGGATGGCTGTTTTATTAAGAACATGTATTGACCAACTGATCATCAGTGTTGCAGAGTTAGAGAAATCTTTTCCAGGCTTCAGTTGTGGACTGACAGTCTACATAGTATATGCTGGAGAAAGGAGAAGTAAGAAAAATATCTTAAATTAAATGGAGAGCCCTTTTGATCTCCTTTTTATAGGCAGTGTAAAATTTTCCAAAACATCTCAACCTTTTTGTTTGTTTAATGCATCTTCTCTTGTAAGAGTTGTGTGAATACAGAACTGTGAAAGCCAAGGTTATAATGATTATGGAAACTGTACTATTATGACATTTGTTGACATAGCAGCAAAATAATAGTTATTGTAAGGATGGTATTTGGAAGGATTCTAAGGATACTTGTTTGCATTGCTTCATTTCCAAAGACTGATTTTCCAGTTTCCATAAGAAGGAATTCTGTAGGAGAGAGACCATGAACTATTCTTCAACTGCTAAAATCAGGCAATTATCAATGATGAACTTGTTAGTAGGGAATGTGGATGGGGAAACTACAATTTCTTAATATTGGGGGTGTCTCTCTGTCTTTTAGCAGAGGGGGGAGAGAGTGACCAGGGAAAATGTGGTGATGCTGGGAGATGTCTCTCAGAGCACGGTGCAGATACTACTTGGTTTTGAAATCTTCCTTCTCCTTGGCTGCCTTCCCTTCCTGAGTTCCTTTCTTGCACCTTACTGCACATCTCCCCTGATCTGGAGCTCCTCATTCCTCTTCCTTTCTAATGCAGTTTGCAAAATCAGGCTGAAATCTGATAATTATAATCTGGAATTTTGAGACTAAGTTGTTCTCCTGACTGCAGATGCAATGTTATCTTGCCTGCTTTGTCCTGCCTTTACCCTCTGCAGGTACAATTCCAAAATGCCATAAAATAATCCATGTTCAGTGTTTACTGTTCTGTTCCTTTCCCTGGAGTAGCACTGTATTAGTCTCCATCGCTGAGCACACAGCTGAATTTATGCCAGAATTGAAACATGCTTGGGCAACATTGTACCTTGACTGTAAGGGTGAAATTTCATCCCATAGCTTGCTGGGGACGAAGCACCCAAACCTAAACAAACTACTGGTGAATTACCAGAAGGGACAGGACAGGGAGGATGGGGCTGGAACCAAGAAGAAAGGAGAGATGGGACATGGAGAGTTCCCACTCTTTAGGGGCTGTTTTTGGTGTTGGCGAGCTCTAGCAGTTATGGAAGTTGGGATGAAGATGGAAAATACATTAATACCCTGGATTGTTAAAATCATGATACATGTGATTGTATCTGCCACATCTCTTCATCATGACAGGGTTTTGTATTTAACACTTACCTTGAGCTAAAGTGATATTCTAGTCCTTTTGTGTCCTTAAAATGTGCTGACCTTCTGCTTCTGACAGCTCCATTTTCCAGCTCCTCATCAGATTTCTTGGATTCCATGGGAGTGGTGCCACGTCCTTCTTAGCACCTTAAAAGCAAGACATCCCTTATGCTGGACTCACTTCATTTTCCTTGCTCTTCTTCAAAAGGCATAGGCATCCTGTGATAAATGCAAGCAGCCAGGGTAGCATTCCTTCCAAAATTAAGACTGCATCCAGAGGGGAAGAGGCACTGTGCTTCCAAACACCAAAGAAAGTTTAAGATGCAAGCAGTAGAATAGAGAGTAAACAGATGTGATGTGGATTTTTTCACCCTGAGTTTGGTTTTGGGAGGCCTGGGGAGAGGGAGTTGATGTCTTTCAAGACTGAATTTAAAGAAAATGTTGTTTTCTCTCAGTGCCTAAGTTGCTTGTTGGGAGCCATGAAGATTTTAAGCTCAGTCTTGGAGCTTGCTTTGTTCTAAACTATCACCTAGGAGGCTTGTTTCAGATTTCCATATTAAGAGTCAGCAGAACTGCTAACTGGAGCATTTCTTTTGCACACTTGTGCTCTTTTAATATGGTATCATGATCTTTTGAGGCTCTTTTTGGAATATAGTTAAGTAGAACAACTTCACCTATCTACCTAAAGTGAGGCCTGCAGCTGGTTCTCTCAGAAACAGATAATTTTTTTTAACCCCCACAAGTTTCCTGTTGGAATGAGGAGTATTTGCCCTCCAGTGGGTTTTCTTATCTGTATTTTTTTCACTCCCTGACCATTGAAAACTAATTCAAAACCTTTGCTTAAATGAGAAGGTGGTAAGTTGTTTCTTTTGACTTTGGGTAGCTATTTTTCAGGAGTTACTTTTATATATTTACTCAACCACTTTTTCATTCTCCTTGTATTTCTGCATGGAGAAAATTCTGAAGTTTACTGGAAAAAATGAAGATAGATGAGGTTCTTCTGGCTCTTTCCAGCAGACTTTCTTATATACCATTCTTTGGAGAAAGGCAACCGAGTTGCATTCCTTCAAGAGCAATTCAGACCAGTGAGAGTCCCTATATTCACTTTGAATTGGAATTTTAGACTAATTAAGCAAAATAATTTGTTGCAGTTTAAAACTGGAGTATTTTTAACACATCTGTGGATCTTTGGCTGCATATGTGTCTCTTAAGTTGGTAAACCTTGACCCAAAGCATAGAATTGAAAACTTGGGAGTCGGCCAAATCTTCTCACAGAGAACCCCCACCAAAGATGCATCCAAAGGCCACCTTAGGTATACTTCACATGGATGGTAGAAAGCTTGATATGATTTTATGCATCTATTTAATTGAACAGTGGCTCAGTCTTTGGAAATGTTACCTGTGTAAGCTGTTTGTAGGTCAAAATAGCAGTCTAATATACTGGACAGTGTATTTTACTAATCACATTTCATGCCTGCTTGCTTTTGCAGATGTTTCCAAGGAATAGCTACCACCTGTTGTTGTTCAACAACTGTGACTCTTTTGCTCAGTAGATAACCTGGGTTTTTATGGAAAAGAATGTAGATGATGGAAGGAATTTTGAAGTAGGAGTTACTATGCACACCTGCCCATAGGCACTGAACAAAATCTGATTGTCATGACGAGTAAACACGCAAGTCTAAAGCTGGTTTTGCTTCATTTCAGTCACGCAATTTTAAAGATTGCATCATCTATTCTAGAAATTCCCTGCATCCCAACACACTTAGTCTCCCTTCCTGTTATTAGCCACTGTGGGTAGTAACAAAACAAAAAAGCACTTGTTATTTTCTTTACCTTTTTCTTCTCACACCCAGATTATTTTGTGATATTTGGGGGGTTTTCATGTCTTCCGAGCAGTTTAGGAAAAGACTGCAAAAATGTAAGAAAATAACCAAGTTTTAGTTATATGAGAGTAAGTGAAAGCAGAAGCAAGCCCAGGCAGTTCTCTTATTTAACAGGACCTCTGAACAAACTTTAACAGAAATGTAGAGGAGTCATTTCTGGAAAGGTTGAAACTGTGGCTCATAACTGCTGTGTATACACAGGATTTCTGTTTTCATCAAGTGTTTTTTTGCCTGTCTTTAGGGAAAGGTGGCTTTTATACAAACCTTGCTGTTGACACTTTCTGAACTTGAAGTTAGTCTTCTGCTACTGGATTGAGGGTGCATGGAGAATGGAAATACAGTTTAATCATAGCAGCAAGCACCCATTTGGTTCTCAAACTGTTTAGAGTGTGATAGTAGTGTGCACAGAAACACAGGTCATGGAATTATTTAGATTGGAGAAGACCTTTAAGATCATCAAGCCCAACTGTTAATGCTGCAACTCCTCCATTAAACCATGTCCCTAAGTGCCACATCTGTACATCTTTTAAATATCTTCAGGGTACACGGAATAGGTGATGGAAAACAAAGAAAATATGATGTTGATTTTATTCAGCTGACAGATGCTCTATCACTGAAACCTCAACTCTGCTTCCCACCTCACTTTCAATAAAAAAACACAGTTCTTGTTACTCTCAGAGTGTTTTTTACTATGTAATGTTGAGAGAATAGCAGGAAAGTTGGAGTGTTAATTCTTATTCCACTTAGTAAAAGTCGGAATTAATAGTTTTCTATATCTTTCTTTCTCCAGGCACGCAAACAAATGGCCTGGACTTTCAAAAGCAGCCTGTGCCTGTCGGAGGAGCAATCTCTACAGCCCAGGCCCAGGCCTTCCTTGGGCACCTTCATCAGGTAAGAGAAGAGACATTTCAAACAGAGGAGACTCAGGCAGCTTTGAGCACAACTGCCCTGCTGTGTTTCACGTTCTCTCTTTCTGTGAAGGATGTGGAGTCATTTATTAGAACATAAATACGGGTGCACCACCTGGTTAAAGAGTGTGGATGGGAAAAAGTCCTAATTGTGGCACTCACTTCATTGCATTAGGCTGCAGAACATGTCAAGATAGGGTGAGACCTCTTTGGGAGGACTAAAAATCACATTTTTGATGACTTGAGAATACCTAAATGTCATGGTGTGTTTTTGAGTAGGTTTTTTGTTTGTTTGTTTCCTGGTTGTTTTAACCTTAATAGAGATACCACTTTGAAAGGCAAGATGAAATTTGAATTTTTTAGGAAAGGTTTGTATTGGCCCAATGGCTGCCAAGGTTCCAAAACTGTCATTATCTAGTTAAAAACATTTCACTCTTACAAAGAAAGTTGATTGTACTTACTAAGCATATATGGCTTGTGAGGTTTTCTTTTTTTACAAAAAAGTTATTTCAGTGACCTGTTTGTCAGATGATATTCAGACTTCTAATACTATCCCTCTGTTCTGCTGCTGCTGTGTTTAGGGAATCAAAGCTGAACTTCAGATGCAGGCTGAAGCAAAATGGGGCATCCCTAGGTGAAGAGAAGTATAAGGGGCATTTTTTTGTAGTTTTTTTATCTGTTCGCACTTGATGTATGAAAACAAATGTCCTAATTTCTTTCCCTTCCTCTGCACCAAGTTAAACTTTAGAATACTGTACCTAATTGGATGACCTTGAATGTTTGAGGTCTGAGGTTGCACAGTTATTGTGGTATAATTGAAGTACTGAAGCTTTTATGCCCTCTTTTAAGAGCTCTGAACTGCCGTTTTATTGTATGGAACATTCCACACGTCTTGTCACATAATTGCAATTTTCCTAGCAGATTGGTTTATATAGGACCTAGGGAGTGCCACTGTTTGAATTTGCTGAACCAATAGCCTGTTGTAGGCTGCCTTTATGTGGAGAGAAGCTGACTAGTTTTTATGGCTTACCAGTGTGTGTTTAACATGGAAACCGATACAGCTGTTCTGCAAAATTCTGTGTGTTTGTTTTAGTCTTCGTTTTGTTATATGGATTGACCCAGGACAGTAATTGGGTTTTGCACAGTGCTTTATGCTGCTTTAGAAATTTATTTATTTAAACAGTTGTCAGGATCTTTATAACTTCATGTTTGATAAAGTGTGATTCATTTCTTGAAACTGGTTCAAAGGAAAATCTCAGGTATTCTTTTATTCACCTGCAGGTGTGTGGGAATCTATTGTCAAACTGTCCTGTGCTAGTGAGGCTGCTGTTAGTGGGGTGTTATTCAACCTTAACACACAGTGCTTTGCTCTAGACTAATGCAAAATACTGGGCTCTAGGCAGCATTCAGGTACAGTTTAATTTCTAATTTGGAAATGTTGGCTGTGTGGTGAAAGGGATGTTCAAACTGCATTCACAGAGATGTTCTGGAATCTGCTGGCTGTGCCTGAGCAATATACATTTGAAGTCTTTTATGTGATGTTTGTGTGATTTTTAAGTATTATTTTGAATATATAATCTGGATGGCAGAGTGGTGTTGTTTAGGCTATTCCCTGCTATTAATCCACGGTAAAAGCACAGATTACATCAACTGTGTCAAACTGTCTTGCTTCTGATGAGGAGGGGCTTTTCTGGGAGTGTTTGCTTAGATGTAGATCATACTTAGTATGTCTAGTACCTTCATCTAAACCAGTGGGAAGTAGTTCCAAGCTGACTTTTCCAAGGTTGACTGTTCAAAATATTCAGTTATTAATTTCATGTACTGCAGTTTTTCCTGTGCTTGAAAATTGTGGACTTTTTATGTGGGGACCATATAGAGGTCTTCCATCTTGAGGCAGGAGTGCTATATTTTGCTTTGCTTTATTGTATCCTTACATGTCACCTGGTTTTCAAATGAGCAGTGGTCTTCAAACATGGCCAGAGGTAGAATTCTCTGCAGGCTGTTACTCTGACCTTTCAAAGTGTTGGTAATTAATTGCAGAGCATTCCTTCTTTATAAATAGGGGTGCTGATAGAAACATGGCAAGACTGATTCAAATGGACTCCAGTAAATGAAAATATAACATTTTTTGTACAGAGGAAATCCTTATTAGAGACAAAAAAGCACTCAAAAATCTCACTTTCTGAAGTATCCATTTTTCCTTGCTGCTCACCCACAAGACCTTCTTTGGGCCTGTTAATTACAAACATTGAATTCAAGTTTTAAGTATACCTGAATCAATACAGCCTTTGTAAAGTGTCTCTGGTCCTCTGTGTTGAGATCTTCTTGTCAGTGGCTGAGGGCTGCAAATGTGCTTGGATGGGTTAATTTGAGGGAGAGTGGTTATGCTCTGGATTCTGTGCTGTGCACATGCTTGCTCTCATCAGAAAGCTGGTGAGTGCAGTGTTGGGGTAAGAACCATTCTGAAATGGGACTGGGATGATGATGAGTAGAGCTTCATGTCCTGCTCTGAAGCCTGGATTTTTCCAACAGGAATAGGACTTGTTGGCCTTTCCTCTCCAATACGCTCTGTTTCAACTCCATCCATAGTAGTATCTACATCCTTAGGCAGGGATACCTTCAGTAAGAGGTAGATAGATAAACAGCATCATGAAAGAGTCTTACAGATCTGCTTCAGCCTGGAGTACAATCCCAACTCCACTGATTCAGGTGTTAGAAGGGCATGCACTGTTCTCCGGGGAGTTTTTGTTGGGCTGTGGGTGGGGAGATTGTTCTTTTTACATTATTAGTTTTCTGTGGATTCTACATTATTTCATTTCCATTTTTGCACTGTTGTAGGTCCAGCTCGCTGGAACAAGTTTACAGGCTGCTGCTCAGTCCTTAAATGTACAGGTAAAGACAGTTACTGCTGCTCATCCTCCTCTCATCCCAAATAGCATCAGTAGAGATAGTTCTTAACCTGTGATACAAACAGCTCAGGTTTTTTCAGTCTGACTGGTTTTGTAAGTGATAGGTATGAAGGAATAGTACTTTCACAACTGTAAATCAGATTCAGGATTTGTAAGCATTCAGGCTCTGGAGTTGTTTAAAACATGGAGTGACCATAACTCAATGCTGAATTTTAGTCAGGTGTGATATCATGAAAACCTTAAAACTCAAGGAATATTTCATGTTCTTCTGTTTATTAACTTGCATTAAACACATAGTGAGTATTACTTCGCAATTTGTCCTTGCTTCTGGTAACTGAATATAGGAATATAATGTAGCATTAACTATGTAATGTGGCTAGTTTAGACTGCTTGTGTAAATTACAGAGTGATTTCAGAGTCAGAGTAATTGTTGTTTAATAATGTACGTGAGACAACAAAGCTTTCAAACTTTCCTATGATGCTGAGCACTTCAGTTTATCTGTTAACATTCTACTTCCTCTCTGTACTATATTAAGGGGCAAGGGATGCAGCTTTATTGAAAACTGGTTTCAGTATTGCTTGTTATTAAAGAATGTAGGTAGTGCGTTACATGAAATGCAATAGAATGTGGACCCACTTATACATAATAACAATTTGGAAAGAAGAGGAGGTATAGTGACCTTCCTTTCTAAGAGGAAGGAGGCAGAAAATTGCCTTGGTTGCCATGGTAAACTTCCATCCCTGAGAGAGATGTTGGCAAACAGGCTGTATCTCCAGTGCAGAATGTTTACAGTCCTGCGCTGTAATTATCGCTCAATGACTGGCAGAATTAATCAGAGCCTTTATGTTAATTAGCCCGCTCTGCAGTCCCCAAAACAGGTGGTGGAAAATATGCAAATCTATGCAGAATTGTAATGTTCTGCATAACCAGTTTTAATTATCATAAAACTCTCTCCCTCTCTTCATGCAGTTGCATTTCTTCCCTCATGTCTTCACAATTTCTTCCGTTTAAAAAAACAAACAACCAAACCACAGAAATAAATCAAAACAAACTTGAATCTTTTAAAATAAAGCAGTATTCAATTAAATAAATAGTTTGAGTATTTAAAAGCACTGTATATATTACATATTTTGCTGTAGGTAGAGAAACCTGTAAGGATTTTTCAAAAAGCTTCTGTATAAGCCAACAGTATGATGACTTAGTGGTACAGGATGGAGATACAGAAAATGGAAACACAATCTCCTTTCTCTTGTTCCATTGTTCAGGATTTTAGGCAATGAATAATTTTAACAACCTTCTCTTTCTTCATGGTGAAAGGCAGCGTCAGCTTCAGTTGCATGGCGTAAAATGAAGTGAGACCTGAAAATAATGTCAGAGAGTTAGAGGAGACCAGAGAGTCTCTTTGTTTTGTTTAAACTGCATTACCTACAGACATGTTTGAGCAATCGTAGCTGAGATGGTGGGCACACAGAGCCATTGCTTAAACACACTCTTAAAATAAACCCAAGGGCTTTTTGTATGCAGATGAAAGATTTTTATTGTGCAGTGTTGAGATAGCAACGTTATACATTAACATCTGTTTTACACTATAAAGAGTTGTATTTTTTTTTGACTAGTCTAAATCTAATGAAGAATCTGGGGACTCTCAGCAGCCAAGCCAGCCTTCCCAGCAGCCTTCAGTGCAGGCGGCCATACCCCAGACCCAGCTCATGCTGGCCGGAGGACAGATCACTGGGGTAAGAGTTACCCTGGGATGCTGCAGTCCCACGCAGCTGTCACCGAGGGGCACTGCAACTTCCTTTAACCTAGGGAGGAACTTCAGTGGAAGTGGCAACAGAAAATACTTTCCTAGAAAAATAAGCATACTCTAATATTTGGGGTTTGTCGCTAAGTGTTTGCTTCCAAACAACAAAAACAATTCTTTCTCTCTGTTCTTAGTATCCCTTTTGACTCTGCAATGAAATTAAAACCTGTTGTCTTATAACAGTTACAAATGAGACAGACACTGATATAAAGAGCAGATTTAATTTTTTTTCAAGATTAAAACGAGGCATGGGAGAACAAGACAATCTTACAGCTGAGTGAAGAACAAAAATTATGGGAACCATTAATTTTTGCTCTTTTCAAACACGTTTCTTTTTAAGTAACTCTATTAGTAATTTCCTTAAGCCTATTGAACCTTTTCATTTTAACCTACTGATTTTGAGGGGGCTATAATTGAAAAGATTTGGGAGTAAATATGGAATAATTGTTCTTTTAGACTTTCTGGTGTTTCTGAATTGTTGTAAGGCTTTCAGTCATTTTAAAAAAGAGCAAGTTTTGTGAATGGGCTGGTTAAAGAATTTGCTTCCACATAATCAGCTGTGCAATATAAGAGTTAGAGTGCTAATAAGCTTAGGGCAGTTGCTCCAACAATGTATTTATGATTTGAAGTGTTAGGTTAGATCATCCCTACACTTGCATGAAATGACTGCTTAATCTCAGGCTCAACTGTTAAATCTTCTCCTATGTTAGTACGTAAATAAACATCCTATTTAGTTTTCAGTTAAGCATTGAAAGTTTTAGAAGTGAGACTGTTTCGCTGTGTTGTTAAAACCTGGCATATCTTATTATTTTTTTGTATTCTCAGAAACACTGGTTTGTTTTAATTCATTATTGTCTGCTGTAGTGAAACATTCAAAACTCCAGGCCTATGCAGATATGAGTTGTAGTAAATATGGGCATCAAGATTCATTTACATGTAAAGGAGAGACTGCTGCCACCTGTTCCACAGAGATAATGCGTGTTTGGGAAAGGGAAGGGATGTAAAGTTGCCAACTCCATTCTATTAAAAAAAAAAAAAAAAGGCAGATGGGGAGACTTGGAGAGAAACAAATGGAGCTCATGTTCTTTACTTATATCTTAGGGCATAATGGAAATGATGGAATATGGCAGGGATTCATGCTAATGTGAAGCAGCTGGGGCGTTATCAGTTTGTTCAGTAGCCATAGCCAGCATTCCTGCTTCACATTCATCTGGCTAATCACTTGCTGTTCTGCTGGGTGTAAATTTCCTTTCAAATCCTGGCAATACTGATTCTTTTCTTTTGCTTGCTACTTAATTGCTTTTTCCCTGATACTCCTGGTAGAGTTGTGAGGAAAGCTTAGGAGCAGGGTTAGGTTCTGTAGGTTCCAGTAAGTGCAAATGCTGGTGGCGGTGCAGTTTGGTTTGTGTCAGGCCGTGGTAGGTTAGTTTTCACACTGTGTTGAGCAGCCAGCTGTCCTTCCTTGGCCATTTAGTGGAATAGCCCTAGGATTGGTTAACATAACTAGTACTGAGCTATCTAATGACTTTGTAGCTGAAGTGGCTATACCCATTATTAATGGCTGTGTTTTCTAATTGTTTATAGCTCACGTTGACGCCAGCCCAGCAACAGTTATTGCTCCAACAGGCGCAGGCCCAGTTGCTGGCGGCTGCAGTGCAGCACTCAGCCAGTCAGCAGCACAGCGCTGCTGGTGCCACCATCTCGGCCTCTGCTGCGACGCCGATGACGCAGATCCCTCTATCTCAGCCAATACAGATTGCACAGGTGAGCCTTGAGGCTTGAGAGGGTGGAAAACTAAAGAGCTTTTGGACCAGTTGCACCGTTCGGATACAATTTGTCGTTCCTCGACTCAGTGAGTTTCTAGAGTCCTCGAGTGGTGTTAGTCTTTGCTCGTGCATGGTGAGGTTGGAGTTTGATAGCCTTAGGAAGGAATGTGTGCCAGCTGCTCCTCAGTTCCACTGGGCCTCTGAGTTTGTACCAGAATCTGAGTAGGTGCTGTGTTTTCTGAATTTTCCTCCTTGTAATTAGAGAGAGAAAGGAGAAAAAAGGGTACGGAACTATGCCCACAGAAATTGCACTTGTTGAGACCTGTATGGATGGGAAGTGATGCCTGTGTATCAAAAAGGATGCTTGTCAGACCCAAATGGTGCTTGTTAGAAGCAAAATGATAGAGCTGAAGAACAGCAGTTTGATTTGACCCATTTGTTGCTATTTTGGCTTGGTGTTTAATGCTGCGAGTTCAGTGGCAAAGAATGAGCACTCCTGTGTGTCTGGAGAAAAACTTGGAGCATGAGTCTGGTGTTGGAATCTGTCCAGTCTCATGGTCTGGTACTAAAGACTTGTCAGTTCTGAAGAACTGCTTGCTCTGGATTTCTGCTTACTAGAAGCAGTAAGGAACCTCCTGAGTCTTCCAGGACTGGCTTAATTCAGTGTGGAGATTGCAATGGCACTAACTCTGTGCTTAGTGTATGTAGTATGGAAAATTCTTAGACTTGTGGACAAGGATCATCAAATGTGCATCTTAGACATCTTGAGTACTATGAGTAGGTGATTGTCTTGCCCTTACTGAGTTCCATATTTCCATAGATTAAAGTTCTTGGTACATAATATCCGTGTTATTAGTCTAGCTGTGCGAAGTGTGTGGGGTATATAATCTTCAAAGTTGCTGCTTCATAGAGTGAGCAAGTTCTTTAAGACTGTCTGATGCTTTCTGTCCAGGCTATTTTCTCTTGCATTCAACCAGGATGAAGTGTCTAAAAAGTGAACATGAGGTCTGATTAAGGACAAGAATAGAAATGTTGCAATTGTCTGTGAAGTCCAGGGATGAAATGTTCAATCCTTTACTGTGCTGGTCCACTAGCTGATGAATAACAGCCTGGCTGTGCTATCAGGTTTTCATTAGCTGAAGTGACAAACTTCTGTGGTGTTGATCTAGAAGTCCTTAGAGAGGCCAGAGTGATGCCATCCTGTTTTTATAAGGCCAGTGCTGATGTTGCTGTGTTGGTGAGATTCCTCCCATTGAAGCTCTTGTTGCACTGTGAGAAGTCACGTCACCAAATTTTTGGCAGAGGATTCCACTTCACTGGCATGATGTGGAGATGATTAAAGGATGCAGCATTCAAGGAAACTTGTAATTCTCAAGATCATATCTTAATTTTGTTAAAACTGTCTGTAGGCAATAATACAGACAGATTTCAAAAAGAATGGGGAATGTCCTTGTCAAGGAAGTTGTTGGTTATAGCTTCTGATGTCTTTCCACGCACCTGTCACAGAGTTCTCATTTGATGGGATGTGTTTTAACATGTATGTAAGTAATCCACAGGTGTGTGTCTCTCCTCTTCCAGGTGTGCAGCTTAAGATAGCAAGGTCTGCTTCACTGAAGTGTGGTGGCTTAAAAATTCCTATTAACAAAATCTGTACCTTGAACTGTCTGGCCTTAGGTTTGTGAAACAGGCCACCAAAGCAGTGGATACCACTGTGATGTGTGTGTGAGATGTTTCTAATCCTGCTCTGCCACCTCAATGTGAAGCTCTGAAAATGTGTGAAGCATTTACAATTATTAGTTTCGTACTAGCTTTTTCTCCAGAACTTAGAAAATCTTCAGAGAAGTGTTTGAGAAGAGTTGAAAAGATCAGGCATGTGCTGTCAAATAGGGGTTTCTGAAGGCAGCATTGTCTGATTCGTGCACATGAGTGAGCTAAAGGCTCTCTGAAAAATAGCATGTGATCATGTAGTTGCCACGTGCAGAACAAATTAAAGTTGTGCTTGTTTTCTGACATTTCTAATTACTTAATTGTTTGACTTTACAATTAATGTCTTTTAGGATAGGTTATTTTGATACATAAATGAGCTTGGTTGAATCTTGTTAACTGCTCCTTTTGATGAAAGTGCAGGGCATAAATTGTGCAGGTGTTAGGTATAATTTGAGTTACTTATGGAAAACATCTACCATCTAGGTTCGTAGGTAGATAGCACCATGCTTTTTGATCTATCTTGGCAAGGATTTGTAAGCAGTGCTCAGCTTTGTTTGTGTTGCTATTGTAAACATATAGCTGATTATACAAATAGCTGAATGTTTGTTTTAATTGATGATTTTTGAATAATTGATTAACTGGCAGGTCTCTGCAGCAGAGGGATTACCATATTTATTTTAATTAACTAATTGCAGAAGCATGACTTCTTTAATGTGCACTGCAGTTCACGTAAGGTATCTGCTGCAGCAGCCTGGTGAGGAGCTCGTGCTGCTCCTGGGTTGGCATTAGCAATTGTGGGTCAGCTTTTGGGGTTCTTTATCAACTTCCTTCCAGGATCTAGCCTCTGTATTTATATGATGTGAATCTCAAAATGACACACATGCTTAAGTTTGTGCTGAAGCTGTAATTTGAAATAATGGCATTGAATTTAGAAATCTAGATTATTTTTTTTAAACAAAAAATCTTCCTCACAGCAAGACATAGCACTTGACAGATTATTCTGCTGAGGTAGGATTTAGATTGTTTTGATCTTTCTAAATTGCTAGGCAGCACCAGAAGACATGCATGTCTCCCTGAAAGTCTCTCCATCTCTTTCCATGTGCTTGTGCTAGCATACAGATTTTAACGCTGAGGAAAAAAAAAATCCGTATAGGAAATCAGTGTCCGGTTTGATCGTGTGGTTGCTATTGGGAGATTTATTATAATGATATAATTAACTAAATAATAAAACTTTCCCAAGGTGGAAATAAAGTTGGATTTCAAATGCATTTGAGGGGCTGGTAGGGCTATTTAGGAGTGATTAGCCTTGGAGGTATCATTTTCATTTTGCGTTGCAGAATTATATTTCTGTATTTAAACAAGACTTAGCCAACATACCATTTACCAAGGCAGATGCACGGAATAAGATTGCTTATATCAGTTATCCCTGAGGCCTCAATTTAAAAACAGTTTTCTCATATTAAAGTGGAAGAGCCTGATGATAAGAGCTGTCATGTCTTAGCTGGGTAGCCAGTGTTATGAATACTATAGTCTTAAACAAAAAGCTCTCCTCCTTTGATCTTACAGATACACTGCCACTGTTTCTTTGTATTCTTTCTTGCATGTAACTCCATCTCCTGTGGGAGTGCTTCAAATCATCTGAGATCTACTTGGTCATCTGGGGTGATTTCATTTGTTTGCTTTTGATTGGGAGAGGTCCTTAATCTATCTGTTTTTCCATTGATACTTTTTTCTTCTACAGTGTCTTCCCAACTCTTCCTTTTGTGTTTCTGGTTTTTTCTCTTACCTACCTCTATTTTCATCCTGCAGCCTCTCTTTATTTCCTTTTCTTCTGCCCAGTGTTCCCAACCTGAGTCAGCTTGCCCAGCTCTTTCCATTTCTGTTTTCAACTCTGCATCCAGTCCTCACATCCATTCCAGTATGAACCCCCTCTGAACTGGAGGGTCAGCACGATCTGCAGAGGTAACCAGCTGAGCATTGAAAATCAGTGAATAAATGAGTGGAGATCCATGTTGTGTTGAGCTGAAGAAGTAAGAGGTTTTGGTAACAGTTCTGACCAATGTGATATTAGGATATGAAGTCATAAGAAACATGGAGTTCCATGATAGAACTGGAGCAGTTATTTCTCTCTTTCAAGAAGGAAATTTGCCTTGATTTCATAGGAATGGTTGCATTATTTCTGCGATTTTCTGAAAGCAAACAATACTATTGACTTTTAAACTACTTTTTTTGCTCATGGGCACTTTTAAAATTTTACTATTCTCTTATAAAATAGAAGTTTCCATTTCTTAAAAAGAGCGTTGCTTGATCAATCCATCTGGTGTCTGTCTACCATATTATTACACTGCATGCTTTTGACTTAACAGGGCTAAGTAGCCCAAGTGATTGATGGCCAGTGTCTGTGTAATGCAGGTTAAGTAGTCGTTTTCTTATAATGCCTGTCTATGGTCTCATAAATCAGTGGACTCCCTGTTTTTTCCCCTCCCTAGTCTTCCTTTCTGACATTCCCCACCCCCATCTCCAGAAAGAGATTGTTGCAACTTTCAAGTTACAATTTTAACAGATTAAAAATAATGTAAGGTCACAGATAACGGCAATTGTGTAAGAAAGAAGTTCTCCTTGTCAGTCTGTCTGACTTCTCATCTCCAAATCCACGGCTGGCAGTGAATGGCCTGTCCCATCCTCTGGCTGAGCAGGTTGTGGGAGTGCTCAGCAAGCTGCATCAGTCCAAGGAGCAGCTCTTTGTTACTCTGGTTCTCTTGTGTTCACGTGTGTTTGGGGCTGTATGAAGATGAGCAGCTCCAGCTGGGCACTGTTTTTGGCACTGCTGCACCTGAACACGGTTTCTTTGCAAACAGGGACCTGAATAACTTCCCTGAAACAGCTTTGGGGAAGTCTTCTCGACTGCTTGGTTTGGTTTGTGTAATGGGAGGTTTGCAAGTGTGGGAAGTATTTCATTCAGGCTTTTTTCCATCTGTTTGGTGAGTATTTTGAAACAGATTCTTCCTGGAAAGATGGAAAAATCTGTTAAGTGTGTTTAGATAGTTTTCATAGATTACCACTGTTATGTTGGCTGACTTCACATCGTGTTTTTTAAATTTCAATTGCCCTTGCTATTGTCCTATTTGGAGATGAAATGAAAAACGCTAGTTAGGGAGAACAATATTTTTAAGCAGTTCTCTATGTTTTCATTCTCCAGCTAAATGTCAGCTTGAAGCATTTTTGTTGAAAACTCAGTTTCTCGTGGATTAACATTTCACATTGAGATCTGTCATTTAATTATAGAAAATTAATAGTCCTGAATGGTTTAAATACGTAAAGGTAGGGTTCTGCAATAATGCAGTGTTTTGGATTATTCCTTTTAACCTTTCATTATAGTCATATCTATTAAGCTTATTGTAATTTGTTTCAGAACAAATCAAATATATTTACTAATTGAGTTAGCTGCTTTCTGAAATCTGAACTGAACAACCAGAGTGCAAACAAGAAATCTGTAATATTTTGCTTCCCTGTTGTTGATTCAAATGGTAATTGCAGACCATTGTTACAAAAAAAAAAAAGCTTGATTTGTAGTAGAGTTCCATCCTCAAAAAATAAGTTTGAGAGGTCTTTTATGCTGATGAGTCTAATGTATTTGAAAACTCCTGAATTAAGGGGGAAGGGAAATTGATTTGTTGGTTTGGTTTGTTTTGATTCTAAAGCAGAACAGTTCTGGATATACTTTGCTGGGTTATTTAGTAAATAACTTTGGTTTTATGAACGAGAGTTTCTAAAGGATACTCAGTAGCAGGACTTCTGCTGTGTTTGACATCCGCTTTTATCTCTAAATGTTAGAGTGTAGCTCGTTGATATGAAATCTTATATTGGGAATTATTGCTGACTTAAATGTCTAACGCACAGATCTTTCTCTTCTTTTTTCTTTTTTATTTTTTGTTTTCTTTTTTTGTCTTCTCTTTTTTTATTTCTTTTTTTTTCTTTTTTTGTCTTCTTTTTTTTTTTTTTTGTCCCCTTCCCATTTCCTTAAGGATTTGCAGCACTTGCAGCAGCTTCAGCAGCAGAATCTCAACCTGCAACAGTTTGTGTTGGTGCATCCAACAACCAACTTGCAGCCAGCACAGTTCATCATCTCACAAACGCCGCAGGGGCAGCAGGGTAAGTGCTCCTTGCCACAAAAGCAAACCATACATGGCATTTTTTAGGGGAGAAGGTGAATCTCAGGTGGTTCATACCAGTGCCCAGCTTTCTCTCAGGCAGTGGCTCCCAGCCAGCTTTTCCCCCCTAAGTTTATATCCTCAGCATGACACCACGTGGTGGAATATGCCTTTGGCCAGTTTGGGTCAGCTGTCATGGCTCTGTCCCCTCCCCATCTTCTTGTGCCTCCCAGCCTGCTTGCTGGTGGGATTTGTGAGGAGCTGAAAACTCTTTGACTATAAATACTGCTTGGCAATAGTAAAAGTGGTAATAGTATAGTAATAGTAGTGGTAATAGTAAAGTAAAACATCAGTGTGTTATAAACATTGTTCTTATCCAAAATCCAAATCTCAGCACTGTACCAGCTATTAAGAAGTAAATTAACTCTATGTAAGTCAAAAGCAGGACAGACTGAATAAAGATTACAAATTCAAAAGTCCTTGTAGGAGTCTGGAAAGGTACTTAAGCCTAAAGAGTGTACAATGAATTTTGTCATAAACTGAAATAATAATTAACACCTTGGGAAAACAGCTAGAATGCTGGATTTGTGTAACAGCTCTTATAATAATATTTTTGCAATGCACTGGGTATAACTTACTTGCCAAAGACAGACGAGGCAGGGCAGGTGGTGCTGTGTCAGAGCAGTTAAGTTGTTGTGCTGTAGCTTTGTTCTGAGGACTGATGTGTCCAGGCTGCAATGCATCACAGTGCTGATTGCACCCCATTTGTTGATGCCCACGGAAAACTGCATTTAGCCATGGCTGCTTATGCTGATATACTCCAATGGCCTTTTTTCCCCCCTTTCTCTTCTACATGGACTCTAGTCAGTTGTTCAGGTCTGGTAATCCAAAGATTCTTGCTCAGAAGGCAAATCCTGTTATGCTTGAAGAGTCCTGCAGAGCCTGGCTGTCCTATAAAGCAGCTCTTTGCACCTCATTTTCTTCTGGTCCTTTCAATTTTTTCATGCATCATTCCTTCTTACTTACTATGACTTGGATAGAACTGGCTTTCCATTACGCTGAAGGGCTCTTGCTGTCTGAATGCTCTCACATTTGAATAAAGAGTTAGTCAAAATTACCTTCCTTTTAATAGGGCTTGATTTAGGAGAGATTTTATACTAGCACTGGTAGAAAATGGCTGAAAGGCTGCTCATGGAAGCGTTTAGTGATGTACTGCTTTCTTAAAATGAAGCAGAACTTGTAAACTTAACATACTGTACTAGAAGAAATCAAACCACTAGATTTAGTTCAAGACTTCTTCAAAATAAATGCTTGGGTTTTTTTTTTAATAAATTCTTTTAAGAAAACAACAAGCACAAAAACATTGTTTTGAAAAACTCAGAGGTATTGATGTCTGCCTACATTTTTCAGATAAATTCTGCTGATTTTCTAAAATACCTCTGAAGACGCTTTACAAAAAAAGGAAAGCTAAGAGAATCAAATTGTATTCACCCCCAAAATGAGCTGTTTGCATCAGAGAAGCGAAGCAAGGCTTTCTTGTTTGTTTAAAATCTGAAGTAGAATAAGTAGATGAGATTTTCATAGTACCTTTTCCAGGGGCCATCTCTACAAAATTATTTCTTCACTACAATTTCAGACCTGCATATTGCTGTCATCAGTGACGCAGTGCAGGTAGAGACATCATGTTTTATTGGTAATGTGCAGCCTGGACAGCTGAATAGCTCCAAAATGTAGGAAGATTTATATGCTGAATTCTGACCATAGGCCATTAGTGTGTGACAACCTTCTCAACTGAAATGCTTGAATAGATCTCATTTTCTTCATGAGCACTCAATGATAAAGCAACATGTATGTCATAATACCCCTTGTATCACTTTTTGATATGTTTTTTTTGCATTATGTCATGGTTATTGTTAGAAGATCTCAAACAGTACATTATTATTTATGAGAAAGATTGAGAGAGTGTGTATTTTTATTTTGGTATTTACTGTTGCAGCTGACTTTTCCATGTTGTTCTTGTCCCATTGCTCCATTAGTCAACTTCATAAAATAATAAATATTCTGAAGAAGCTAGCATAGAGTTTTCTTCAAAACCGATGGCATTAATATTTTTTTCATGCTTCGTTGGTACTGCATGGAGCTTTATATATGTACACATTTAATAACAAACATAAAAATTCAGATTTGTGTATAGATTATGTATTCTGGAAAGAAATTTCTTGCTTTACAGTTTACATATTTTGTGTATGCCATGTAGTCATGTAAATGAGGAACACTGTTTTTAAACGAGAAGAGTTTTGAGGGAAATAAGTGAAGAGTAGTGTATCTAAACAAGGTTGTAGAAGATGTAAACATTTGGTGAAGAAAAATGTTTTACTTAGAGGCAAAGGAGTACAGAGAAATGCAGTCATCAGCAATTGTATTTAGATTGTTGAAGGAGTTGAATATCATGAGCTGAGATCCAACTTCTGAAAAATTTTAGGAAATTCAGTACCTAAAATATTAATCAATAATTAGGATGTTATTCTACTATCTTTCTTCAACACACACATTATAGCTCCCAGCAGCAGATAGGAAATTTTCCCCAGAAATCCACTGCCATATGTTTAATGTAGTCACCTTCTTTTTCCACGCAATTTCTGGCTATTTAGGGGCTCATATGAAACAAATTTTAAAGTTCCCATTTTTCATGGCTGGTAATTGATAACATCATAACTGAAAGAATTGTTTCAAGCCTCAGAAGATATGCAGAAGATTGAATGGAAATAGAAATCTGGAACGTTTTCTTATTCAGTGCAACTGTTGTTCATATTATTGTTAAAGTCACCAGCAGGAATTTAGCACCTTGTAATGTCTTTATACCTCTTGTATCTGATCTTGTATCTAATAGAGCTGTCTCTAAAATAATCAATTTAACATCCCTTACTACAATTAGAGCTGCTTCTTAAAATTATTACCCTCATCGGGTGACTGTTCACCCTTTCACTCATGAGATATTGCTAATACAAATCGTATCAGTAAAAATCTGAATGGGGGGGGGGGAATGGTGCAGTATTTAATTTAAATTAATCTTGCAAACAGGAGTTGTTAAGATCTAAACAAAGACTGGATCACAATGAGATTTAGAAGTTGTACTTACAAAGAAAATATCCAGCGAGGCAAATGTGGAAGACAGGCTATTAATTAGCTATAAACATTGAAACCTACCTAGTCTCAAGTTATTGCTATTTATTATTAAAGACTATCTTTATGGTTTTTTTTTTTTAATTGTAAAGTTGCCTGGGCCAAATCCAGTCCTGTTTTCTTCTTTCATACATGTTATACAGATTTTGAGACCTCACTCATGTGGAGTTGTTGTAATGGCTTTGTCTTGCCAGCTAACTTCCAGTGAGAGGATGAGCAGCTTTGGCAGAGATAAAGCAGTCAAGTTCTTACATGAAAAAATTCACTCTTTTGGGAGATCAGTTTGGGATGAATTATGTATTATGCTTCTGGGCCAACTTTTTTAAAATTATGCTGAAAAAGTCTGTGCTTGAATGTTTGTTTTATCTTTTGTTTAATTTTAGATAGAACTGAATCCCAGATCAGTCCTAGGGGACTCTTGGCTGGCAGGAAGAGGTTTTTGGCTTGGACCATTATTCATGCTACTCGTAGACATTATAGAAAAAATCCTGAATGACAATAGATATATTTACTATAACTATTAAAAAAAAATTAAATCTCTCTAAACTATCATACTTCTGCATCAGTCCTTATCTGCCTCTATGCAGTCATTCTTTTAGAGTGCCACATAGGTGATTTGTGTGCCATATTTAATGCAATAATACCACTGGGCTCTTAAAACCCAGAGCAGAGGGTTAGGAATACGACCTCTGTAAAGTATACAAGTACAATAGCAGCTTTTATAGGTTCAAAAAAATCATGTGGGTTGGAAGGGACCTCTAGAGACCAGGTAGAATTGTTCAAGACAGGTTCAATTACAGCAGCTATTCAGCACCTCAGCCAGTTGAATTGAACGTGTCCAAGAATGGAGCTTCTGCAACATTTTCAAATACCTGCCCCAAAAGTTGACTGCTATTATGTTTTTTTAAAAAAAATGTTTTCTTATATCTAAGTTGGAGTTTTCCATGTTCCAATATCCATTGTATCTCATTACTATGTACCCTTAAGCAGAGTCCATTTCTGTCTTTGAAGAAAGCAGTAGGATCTCACCTTAGTCTTCTCATCAGGCTGAAAAAAACAACTCATTTACCTGTTCCAGCCTGGTAGCCACCCTGGTGGGCCTTAGATGTACAAAATCCAGGATGGCCTTGTGCCTTGTACTGGGAAACCCAAAGCTGACAGCAAGACTCCAGCTGGGGTGTCACAGGTGCCAAATGAAGAGGGAGAAGCACAACCCTTGACCTACTGGCTGCAATCCTGTGAGTACAGCCCAGGATGTGCTTGGCTGTCTTGAAAGGGCACACTGCCAGTTCATGTCCATCAGATTGTCCTCCAGGACCCCCAGAACTTTTTCCTGTGGGACTGCATTGCAGCCAGCCAGTGCCCACCCTGTATTGCTGCACAGGGTTATTCCAGCCCCCGTGCAGAACTTTGTATTTTCCTGCATCAATCTTCATGGGGCTTCATTTGTCCAGCTAGTCTAGACCCTGGCTTCTGGCCTGTTGACTACTTCCCCATCTTTGGTATTGTCCACAGACCTCCTGAGAATATTTAGGCACCAGCAGGTGCCTGAAACATTGGATTTACTTAGAAAAGCCAGTGGTGTGTAATCTGTAAGTTAAGTCACTGAAGGTATTTTAGACCTCAATGATTTCTTCTCAGAAAAGAAATGAAGGAGAAGCTTAGACTGGTTCAAGTCATGTCTTAAAAGAGCACAACTGTATCTGTCCACTCATAAGAGCCAAGGAGTGCCCAAAGTGTGTGCATGGCAACTGACTGTAGAGGCTGTGATCACAGGGAGAGACACATTGCCCAAATGGTCCAGCTGCTTTCCCCCTCCCCTGACCATTGCTTCAGTCAGCTGCAGGTTGAACTGGCTTGTTCTGTCTCCAGTTTCTGCCCGTGACATCTTGTGTCAGCTCCTCTTATACAGGATAAAATGATGTAAAAACAGAGTGGATTAAATGTGTTCAGATTATTTTATGCTGATAATTCCATAATAATTACTTCAAGCCGTGTGAGTGAGAATAAAATTGGGAAGAGTGTAGTCATCTTGTCATCTCTTTAGCAAAATTGTTAATGCCAGAAAAACATCCTCTGGGATTTCTCTGGGGACAAAAAGTCACAAGAGGCCAGTCCTAATTACTCTGATTGCAGTCATAAGACAAGTCAGTAACTTGTAATCGATGGTGTTACCAGTGGACTAGAACTCAAATGTCATCACTGTCAGCTGCCTGGTTTTTGTTTCATTGTTGGTCAGCCACTCTGTAGTGACAGTGTGATGGGCTTGCCCCTTTCTCTTTCAAGCTATCAGTTTAAAATTCACTATCACCGAATTAAGGTCAAAAACTCTGCACTTAGAGGTGACTGTTTACTAATTAATATTTAAATTTGGGCAGCTAAAATCATCTTTCAAGTGAACAAATATTTGCACTGTAAAAAGCAATGTGTAGCTGTAGTTGGTGGCTGCCATGGAAGCTCCTTGAGCAGCTCTGTTCCCTCAGTGTGGCTTTTCAAAAACACAGCTGGAACACATTGATTATGTGGTGCAAAGCAAATTTGCATGCTTGTCTGTGCTGTGCTATTATGTTACATAAGCAACTGGCTGTACTCTGTAGGTCCTGAGCATCTTGGTAGCCACACATTCTGTTTAAACTACATATTCAGCTCTTTGTTAAACAAAAATCAAGTGTCACTCTCAGATGATACACAAGCACAGAAGAGCTATCCCTTACTGAAGATACGTTTTCTCCTTCTTAACCATGGTAATCCCTCTTTCCATGTTTCTTTTGACCTTAACCTCGCATAAAACATCCATTTCCTCACTCAGTATTTATCAAGTCCTAAATTCTGCTTCCCCTGCCTTTATTCTGCTGAGAGGTAGATCAGGCAGCTGATGATGCTGAATTTAAATGGTACATAGTTGATGGTGGCATAGCAGTCCATCCATCTGTTGCTCCCCCTGGTTTTAGGGACAAGATATTATTGAAGTGTAAGTTTAATTAGTCAGGTTCTTAAGTTATTGTAGTGGAAATTGATAGTTGTAGCCAGGAGGTACCTAAAAAATAACAGTTAATATTTTTCACAGTAAAGTCGAGGCATTTGACACTAACTGTAGGTATATTTTTGTCAAGATTCTGTCCCTTAAAAATAGATTCATTTTTGCATTAGAAATACAAAAAAAAACCTCCAAAACTGATACCTTCTAGTTAAAATATTTAGATGCAGGCATGTATCTCGATTTCCTCAGAGATTTAATAAACTGTAAAAATACTGGACTGTAAGGCAATTTATTCATAGATTGACAGCATATTATACATATTGGTTCTATCAGTTGCAACTGTTCTTTGATATTGTCACCTTTTCATAGTAGCAGGGTTTTCCTATATTCAGTGTAGTGTTTATTTGTTAAAACTGAGCAGTGTTCAGTATCTTACTTAAACTTTAATTCCAATTATTTTTCAAAATAATTCCTACTTTGTTTGACCCAGGAGGGAGTTATCTAGGTTTGTTGTGTCTTCAGGTGTGGTCTGCTTAAGTCTGCCAGAAAGCTTCCTTCTTGTTAGGTAGCTGGCATAGGGTGCTTTGGAGAGGAAGGAGGGTGATCAAAAAGCAAAATTTGTGGGTTTGATGATTATTCAGTTGTTAAATTTGATCTCATTAGTGCTCAGTATTGGCTCCACAGTTCTTGGTCACCTCTTGATTACCAGAAAAGGTGTATCCAAACTCTGCATGCTGAAAAGGGCAGTAAATTATTCCTGCACACAGAACTGGGATGACCTAGATCATTACCAACACTTTCTGCAGAGGGAACTTACACATTCTCCCTCTTAGCCTTCCATCACCACTTACACTTCAGGGAAATGCAGGGGGATTTTGGGCTGAAAATGCCGAAATCGGAAGATATTTATGCAAGGAAGAAACAAAACCTCACATCTCAATTTTTTTTTTTATTTTTTTATTTTCCATCATTGCAAGAACCTTGTTTTACCTCATTTCATGTTTTAGTGTTTTTGAATGACAAACCAAATGCACACTTTTCTCTCTCCAGGTCTCCTGCAAGCGCAGAATCTCTTAACGCAACTACCTCAGCAAAGCCAAGCCAACCTCCTGCAGTCTCAGCCAAGCATCACCCTTGCCTCGCAGGTCAGGCCTTTTCCTACACTTCATGACTTGCTTTGAGGGGATTTAAACTCTGGCAAGTGAACAGACCCTTTGTGTTAGTTACCTGAATAGATGTAGCTATCACAAGGAATTTGTCTTTCTAGATAGTTCAGGATTGTAGCTCGCACCCCAATGTGACTCTTTCCAGGCTTTAACGTTCTAAAATGGGTTTTTAGCTGAAAATTTTCATGATTGATACCTTGAGTTAATGGCACTTGAACATTGTTTGATTTCCTGTAAGGTTTTCTTGGAAATTCAGAGGAGCAAGGTGTGAGCTCCCTCAAAAGCACCAAAAAGGGATTACTGACAAGTCTCTTTCTGAAGATTGCAATGGTAATCTATCTTCATTTTAGTGTAGTTATTTTGCAATCACTGCTAAGTCATTGCCAGTTCTACCAGTTACTGTCTGTGACACTGAAGAGATTGTTAGAAATGAAATATTCGAATATTCTGATAGATGTATATTAAAATATTAGAGCTCTGTGATTAAGTTTTCAGACTATAAGAAAAGCAATTTTAAGGTTGCATGTGCCTGTAAATTTAGTTGTGCTTGGCTCTGGGTTTTACTGTGCAGTTTAGTTTCATGGCTGCATGCTGTTTCTCAAATACCATCTAATATCACACAGTATCTTCCTGCCACCTCGGTTACATATAAGAATTTTCTAGTCTGCAATAAGGTGCCTGAGTCTATCAGAGTCTTAGAAAACTACATTTTCTATTATACCACCTCTAGTATTTTTCATGCACCATGTGGAAAATGGAATTTGTCTCACCTCTAGTTCATACCTCAGCTAGCAGCGTGATTCCTCACTAAAGATTATTCTTGGGTTTGAAAAAAAAATATATTAAAACTACTAAGAAAGAATAAATTATGTAAAGTGGGTGAAATCAATGAAGACATATTGCAGTAATTACCCACTATGATTAATGTAAATTAAAAATATTAAAAAACGTGTAAGTGGGACACATGTATCTGCAATCCTGGAAAGATCATATATGATTACATTATTTCTCAAGTAATGGAATTATAGATCTTGACCTCCCTCTACCATCTGCTGTGCACTGCAAAACGCTGCACTAACCCAGGAGGAAAACAACATAAGGAGTTATGTAAAGATTGAGCTATATGTAGGCCATTTCTTTTAGAAGAGCCTTTTCTGAACCTTTGCATAGACTTTGCATAATACTCTAGTGCTGCCTGGAATTGAGGCTGTTTTTATTTGCCCTGAAGGAATCTAGAGTTTCAGAGCTGGGCATGAAATCACCTTTACTGAAAGAGCCACAGCTAGACTGACTAGAATTTAGCTGGAGGAAATGATTTGTCTCTGGATCCCAGCTGATCATGGCATGTAAGGAGGTAAAGCTATGCACTCAAAACATGTTTCCAGTGTTCTTGTTGCACATAAAGCCTGAACTGTGCAGTACCAGATCTAAATATATTTTGTTCACCTGTGAACATTTTCCAAGATGCTAATTTTTTTCAGATATTTATTGTAGTTGCAACACAAAATGCTTCAATATGCCAATATTCAGGAATAGTGAACCTTCCATGGACTTCCTAGAAAATTACCCTTTATATAGAAGAAAAGTGTGAATGAATGAATCATTTTCTGCAGATTGCTTGTGCTTCATTTCTTTTATCACCAGTATGTTCATTTTATTGTTGCAACTATTGACGGAAGGGTTAGAGGTAAATCTGGTTTATTCTTCCTGAAGAGTTGAGTCAGTCACAAGAGATAGCATTGGAGGAAACTTGCCATGTTTGCTGTATTTGTACATGCTCACTCTTCCGGGATTAAATTGGAGATTTGAATCTTTTGGGCTGGTGACAGTCTGCCACCTCAAAAGACCAGTAGATTCAATTTTAATTTTTTTTAAGAGGGGTGAATGCCAAGGTGTCTATAAGTGATAGAAATGTATCAAGTAGCCTTTCTTTGAGCAACTTCTGCAGCAAGTGAAAGTTGTTGAACATCTCTTACTTTTCTTTAACTGGTTATGACAGAACCTTTAAGAGCCTGGCATACTACTGTAGTTTTCTGGATTGCGTTTGCTTGTTCTGGAGAGGAATGTTAATAAATTGGAGGAACTTCCAGATTGCAGGAAATATCCAATTCACTGACCTCTCTCACAAGAACATCACGTATCTTTTAGGAGTTTAATTTCCGTTGATTACCCTCTTAAGTCTGATTTTGATTTTTTTCCTTGCTGTCTCAATAGCCAGCAACCCCAACACGCACAATAGCAGCGACCCCCATTCAGTCACTTCCACAGAGCCAGTCAACACCAAAGCGAATTGACACTCCCAGCTTGGAGGAGCCCAGTGACCTTGAGGAGCTTGAGCAGTTTGCCAAGACTTTCAAACAAAGACGGATCAAACTTGGATTCACTCAGGTGAGACTGCGTGCCTTAGTGCCTGCCAGTGTGGAACCTGAGGTCTCATCTTTCAAGTCTGGAGGGAGACTACAATTCCATCATTTCCTAGGAGAACCTGCTTAAATAGGGTTATGCTCTGGCCTTTATGTGGGGGATTTCTAAGAAATAACAGAAAAAGCCATACATCCATCTTACTTCCCTGTTGGTTTTAAAGCATAGCCATTTTCCCAGCAGGGGAAAACGTGCATTTACCAGCTCCAGATGTCATTGCATGTGCACTATTCATTCTATGGGATGTGACATGAATGGGACAAAGCACTTTAAAGCTGCCTTCAGAAGTACAAAGTTCCAAAAATCATACAGTACAATTAGCTGCTCTGTGTGTTTAAAAAGTGTATCACATCTGTGCAGTTGCTTTGGATGTCAAAGGGTTTTATCTCAAGCGTATTTTCCTATTAAACATCAATGATTTCTGTATTTAATGCTTTTACTAAGGTTCCTAAACAAAACCTGAAAGGACTGCCACCTTTGAAGTTTTCTCCTTACAAGGGTGAACTGAAGTTGTGGTTTGTTTTGGTTTGTTTAAAAGCTCAGAAATACCCATAGAGCAGAAGAAAAGTAATCTTGAACATAGTGAAGGTGGTTGAATGAAGACCACAATTAAAAGTACAAAGTGCATTTATATCTTCCATTATTCTGTTGAAAAGAACTTGGTTCCAAGAGTCCTTTCTTATTAATATCAAAATTTTTTTCTCCCCTGCAAAATTAAAATTAAAATATCTCCCCAATATCTCTCAATTAGTTTTGGCAGGAGTCTGTGGTTAAGCGTGAGCATGTCTTTACTAGAAGAAACAGCATGCAAAAATCAAAGTATTTAAAAGTCTGAGCTTCAGAGCAGTCAGTCCAACATATGTGATGGAATAGAATAAGTAAATCTACTCTAGCTGTAACTATGTGCTGAAGTCGGATTTATTTTTCTGGCAAGGTCCTAAATAGAAAAATCAAAGTTCATAATGAAAGTTCCTGGCAGCATCTTAATTATAAGTCAAGAACAGAATGTTCTTAGTCAAATGAAGTGCATTTTGCTGGCATGTGTGCCTCCTTCCCTCCCTTCTTTCCACTAGAGGGAGGCACAGAAATACAAGTGATGGACACACACAAAAGCTCGAATAGAGCAGCAGAGAATAGGATAAAATACAATAGCTTCCCTATAGCCTGACAGAGGGGTTTGTGTAGATCTCTCATTATTATGTTTAATCTGCCCTGCTGTGAGATGATTATAAAGGCTCAACTAGACTTTTTAAGTTATGTGTTAACCTTTCTTTATTGACCCTGTTATGAATTTTCACGGTGAGGAAAAATGAAACACAACTGCTCAAGCTTACATTTCAGTATTTGCTTTTCAGATTAAAAAAGGGGAATCTTGAAAATGTGACAAAATTACATTTGGTCATTCCTGTCCTGCTCTGAGTTTGTATGTGTGTAATTAGGCTGTTCTAATAACTTCAACCTAATTGCATAATTGGATGATAATTAGAGACCCTGATTACTTTGGTTTCCTATAGTTGGATAAATAGACTGCCTTTCAGAGGATAAAAGAAATTTATTTCCAGCAGTACTGTAAGCTTTTTCAGACTCATGCCACCCCTGCCTTTCAAAAATAATTGTAAGATTTAGTTTGCATTGCAAACTAATCACTTACTGCATTCTGTTGTGTGAACAATAAAACAGGTTTTGAATTTCAGCAGTTCTGCCTCTTCTCCCACCCTGAAATGTGGGTGATGCATTTAAATCCCTTTGTTTGTTTTCCTTAAAAATACCTCCATGTTTGACATGCAGGGACACAATGAGCAAACTGCACCTTAGCATCATTGCAGGCCTGGGACTAATTGCTCAGTACAGATTCTAGAGATGTGAGCGAACATTTTAGACAATGTTATTTTTATTTTGTCAAAGGTATTGCCTCTGCTAGACCATCTGAGCTTCTTAACAGACCAGTACACACAACAATGATGTACCTTATAATCAGTTTCAGTTCATTACCAGAGCTTCAGTTAATCTACAGAATAGATCAGATGTGTATACAATGCCTTTAGACTCTGTTCCATCCTGTACCTGGACCATCCCAATATAAAAAAATTATCATCCCCATATGTAAATTCCTTTGCCTACAGCTGAAATGCTGCCACCTTTTGGCATTGACAAAGAAATGGTTAACTATTCATTTTAAATCAGATGGCAAATGTTTGTAAGAACAACATAAATTCAGAATTAAATTTAGTTGGGGGACTGAAGCAAATTTCATAACTCTTTCCTGCCAAGACATAAATCAACTTATCTCTAAAATGGTTTACATAGCCAGGTTTTCTTCTTCATAAACCCAGAAGAGCATCCACGTTACTCCTCTTGGAATGATTTATGAGTTTTAAAATGCACAGAATCCTGGCATATGAGTAGAGGCATAAATGTGAGTTCCCACGTGTTTGCTCTGATTGAAGGGCACACAAACCAATTGTTCTGCTCCTCTTCTAGGAAGGAAATTGTTTTCTTTGCTCAACCTGCACAATTTACTAAGCTTCCCAAAGGTTTTTTCTTCCTGGCTTGTGTGTGGCCAATCTGCATGCTGTCAGTGTACTCATACCCAGCTGTGGTTGTGGAGCTGACCTCAGAGAAAAGCAAGCTTTATGCCCAGTCCAACTAACCCATTTGCAATTAAACTCCACTAACTGTGCTCCAGCTTTTCAGCCTCTTCTTCTCATACTTTGTTTTGTGCTAAAAAATAATTTAAAAAAGCTAAACAAAGCTACTTTAGACCGAATAGTATACTTGAAATATAAGTGCATTTTTTTCAGAGGGCAGGACCTTCCAGCTTGAAAACGAAGCATGAAAATATGATGGTGTCTTTAGTGGCCACAATCAAGAATGGATTGATGTTCTTTTTTAAACACCACTTTCCAAGTGTATACTACATAGTTATATACTATATACATAAATATTAGGATAGGCAGAATGTCTGCTAGCAGAATAGCTAGCTAAAACTGAGTTTAAAAAGCAATAACAGATGTAAAGAGATGATCATCTGCCTGTAAATCTCCTGGATAGATTTGTAGTAGATGGGTAATGATAATCAAGACTGCAGTTAAGCATTATTTGAAATGGTTCAACTTCTTATCTGCTTTGAAATTTGTATCTATTGGGGAGAAATTTGGTTTGAACCTCAGAAGATACTAACAGTTCAGATACGAATATTTCTGCATCTGTTTAAATGTGACATATGTTTGCAGACATCTTTTCTAGAGTATTTTCTACAAATTTGAGAACACGAATTCATTGCATTTCTGCTTATTTGAACTTCCCTTCTTCAGTGTGAAATATGCAGAAAAGCTCAAATCTGCTCCTAAAGAGAGCTTGGTCTTTACTTATTTTAAAGAACTAAGAAAAAATTACGAGTTACTATTCAGTAGAATGTGCTGCTCAGTGATAATGCTAAGAAGACAAAGCATCAGGGATTTCCTGGAAAGAGTTACATGGTTAAACTGACTGAGGTTTGACATTTCTTTATGATTATTGCTTGAGCATGAGTCTTGATAGCACTGAGAAAGCCTCTGTGAAACTGAAATCCCACGCAGCAGTGGAGTCACTGAGAGAACACCAGAATGTGACAGCATTCCTTGCTTTGGAAGTGCCTATGACAGTGAATCCCTTTTTTCTCTTTCTTTGTCCAGGGTGATGTTGGGCTCGCTATGGGCAAACTCTATGGAAATGACTTCAGCCAAACTACCATCTCTCGCTTTGAAGCCTTGAACCTCAGCTTTAAGAACATGTGCAAGTTAAAGCCACTTCTGGAAAAGTGGCTCAATGATGCAGGTGAATGAGTCTGTGTATTTCTTCACCAGCCTACCAAAATCAGTAGGATTCTGAAAAGCTGCTTCGTTTGTGCCCTTATGGTTTTATGAAGCTACCAGCCTTTGTAGCTGCCCATGGGACAAATGAGGATGTAGAAATAAGGGTCCATAGTTCCCTTTCCATGTGCCTATATGCATCCAAAATAGTTCCAGTATGAACTTTCAGAAATGTGTCTCTAGCCAGCTGAACAATTGCATGGGATGAGGTACAATATGTGTCATGGTTTTCCTCCTTCGTGTATGTTAATGCATATAACTTCTAATCCTCTTCTAGCTTTCTTTTTCAGATGTGTAGTATAGAGAGGGTTGCATGATTTGTCGTTTCAGTGGGCAGAGCTTATTGCATCCATCTACTTCCACACCCCTGTGTGCATTCCTTTTATCTCTCTCATAGGGTTCACATAAATAATCTTTTTCCCTGTAGGAAGAGTTTTTTGTGGTTTAGATTTTGCTTTTTCCCTGCCATATTAGTTTTTTCTGGGATACAAGTTATTCACTATGCCAATGTTGGTAGTGTTCTTTTTTTTTAATCTCCCACCGGCAAAAGGAGCTTGTGAGCTAGTACTTAGAGAGTGCTACCAGCCAGTTTTTTCTTCCAAGTATGCAATTGTACATAGGATAAAACTGATGGATATGTTAAACAGATGGCAGGGATGGTGTGTGCCTTCCTATTTTTACCAAAATGGAGAGAGCTTTATGCTGGCGCCTACAGCATTCTCTGAAGTTTTGAAAGTAATTTCATGCGGCGTTGAAAATTTGTCCTGCATTGAGAAAAGGAAGTGTCATTCTGTTGTGCTGACAGGAGTTATCATTAGGTGTTGTAGGTCTGTGATAGAAAACATAAATACCTCCACACTGGGTGCTCAAGTCCACAGGGCAGTGGTTCCCAAACCTTCCAGCAACATTGGATGGATCCAGTGCTGCAAGGACTGTCACAGGAGTTTTTTCATGCTAGCCTGAAGAAATACTTGTCTCTGTCAAGTTGAGGGCTGTGAATAGTGTTGGGGTTCTTCACATCCTGCAAGTGGGGAACCATTGTCTTTGGCTCTGACTCAGTTTCCTGAAAATCTTTGGAAGAAAGTTTCAGGTTACTTTTAGGTAAAAGTAGGCAGGAGAAGCATACCGATGATTCCTGAATTTATTGCCGTGGAGCTCAGGAGGTTCTCAGTGGAGTTTTCAGGCTGAGGAAGGGTTTCCATATGTTTACAAGTGCCATTACTATTAAAAAAAAATCTAGAAAATACTTTCCCATTTGAGTCTATCAAGTAATGGTGGGGATTGTGAACTTTGACACCTGCTTATCACCCGCTAACCCCAGTGCAATGAGGGAACTCCAACCACAATTAATAATTTTGTTTAAATTCCCTACTGAAGCTCGCCTTTTGGTTAGATTGCTCTTCCTGCTGTAAAGTAGGGTTAAATGTTCTCTCTTTGCTCCTCTGTGAAGCCAGAAGGACAGGACTAGGGTTAAGAGAGCCTTGGTGAAGTTAAGGACGGGAACCTGCTCACTGTGTAGAGTGGTTGGTAGCCCTGAGTGTCTGCTAAGGTGTCCAGAGAGAGGAGACTGAATAAACACTGTGAAGCCAGTTACGAACTTCTCTTCCTCTAGTGTTTTGTAGAGTGGCTAAAAGAAATTTCAGGCTGCTCAGATTTTTTCATAACTGCCTGTGACTTTCAGCTATGGCTTATAGATATCAAGTACTCCTTTTTCCTTTAAACTGGGGCTTGCAGTGTGTGAGTGGGGCGTAGCATGAGATATGGGAGACAAACTTTCTATAAGTATTATAAAAGGGATACTGTGGTAGCATACAGGAGCAGAGGGCATCCTTTGGGCTTACTTGTAGCTTTTTAGTGCCAGATATATGCTGTAGTTTTTAAATGCAGTGATTAATGCATGCAATCTTCATAAACCTCTGTGTATTTGGAATAGATACAGAGCAGGTCTTAACATACCTTATACAGGTGAAGAACACTTGCATTAGACTGCACTGCATTCAGATGAATCCTGATTTGTATTCCTTTCTTCTTTTTCAGAAAACCTCTCATCTGATTCAACTCTCTCCAGCCCAAGTGCCCTGAATTCTCCGGGGCAAGGGATCGAAGGCTTGAACCGTAGGAGGAAGAAACGCACCAGCATAGAGACCAACATACGTGTGGCCTTAGAGAAGAGTTTCCTGGAGGTCAGTGATCCTGGTGCTGTGCTCAGCCTGGGAAGAAATGGAGAAACTTTTCTTTACACTTATATGTGTTCGGGTGAACTCACTACTGTGCTATTTAGGAAAGTGCTAGTACTAAACAAGGGGAATACAAAAGCCATGCCAAGAAACATGCATCAACATCTACTTCACTTTAAAAACAAGCACAACCCCCCCTCAGAAAAACTCACTAGTTCTTGCAGTTCACTGACTTCATGATTTTGCACTCCAGTATACTCAGACATAGGTTTAAACACTACCCTTCATGAGGATGGATAAATGGGGCAATAGTCTAAGCACACACAATTTGAGGTTTTTAGCTGGAGGGCAGAAGCATCTACTGTGGTTTGTCTCTACTGTACCACTGAGCAGATTCTGGATCTAAATCACCAATTCATATTTCTGCCTATCTACAATGCAGATCTTCAGGAGATAATTTCAGAGCTTTTCAAATACCATTTTCTTTTGTCAGAACCAAAAGCCTACCTCGGATGAGATCGCCATGATAGCTGACCAGCTAAACATGGAGAAGGAGGTGATCCGCGTTTGGTTCTGTAACCGGCGCCAGAAGGAGAAAAGGATCAACCCACCCAGCAGTGGTGGAACCAGCAGCTCGCCCATCAAAGCAATTTTCCCCTGTCCAACCTCACTGGTAAGAGTCAAGAACTGTGTTGGCAAATATCACTGGCAGAGGTGGTTCTGCTGTGCTCACTGTGGAAGCTACACATGCTGCACCTTCTTTGTACAGCAGACTTGTTCTCACAATATTTATTTCTCAATATTTATATTTTGCTGGCATTTTGAGTGTTCCACCTGAATACTGTCCAAGAGAGATAATGCTTACAAATCAAGCACTTAGGCCTTCAGAGAAGGTGTTGTATTTAGTCACCTCCTGAACAAATATTCTAACTAGCAAATTTGCACTTGGGGTTATTGCTTTGAACTTACTTCAGATAATACCTCCAGTTTATATCTAAATTTTCCTTCTTTTACCCAAAGTTTTTTTTAAATTAAATAATGGTAATTTTTTAAAAGTGCTTAATAGCTCTCTCCCTCCCCTCTTATTTTAGCGACTCTGGTCACTAAATGAGCAGCAGTAAAATGTATCATGCACTGGAATAGGTTGCCCGGAGAGGCTATGGAGTCTCCCTTACTGGAGATACTCAAGAACCATCTGGACTCAATTCTGTGCCATGTTTTCTAGGACTGACCCTGCAGGGAGGTTGGACCAAAGGATCCACTGTGGTCCCTTCCAATCTTACCCTTAGATTCTGTATCATTTGGAGACTTAGGTCACGCAAATCCAACGATACCAGTGTTGTTACTTCTAGTCAGAAATAATTTATATAAAAGAAAGACATGGAACAAAAGAACAATTTAGCTAATACTCATGTAATTAATTTCCCACACTTGTATTTACCTCAGGTAAACACAAACTTCATGAAAATAAGAGTAACAAAACACATGCATCAAGGTTCCTTCAGCATCTTTGCTACCAATGTCCATGGAGGTCTGTTTTCATAAATAGAAACAGTAGCTATTAGATTTCATAGTAGCTATGCTAATAGGAATGTGGTGGAATTTATGTAGCCTGTAGCTGTCCTTTTGTAGTATTTATTCCACCCTCATCACCGTAGTAGCTAATATCTTCCAGTACTTCATTAAACCATTAATTTTGGTGACGTGTTATTCTCTCCCCTCCTCCTTGTCTCAGGGTGTGTGCATGCAACCTTTTGTTTCAGGGGAAGGGCTGTGTTGAGTGTACTTAGTATTTTTTATTATTGTTGTTGTTGGTTTGTTTGGAGTTTTTTTTCCAAGTTGCAAAGCAAGGTTACATGCCTTGCTACCAAAGCAGAATATAGTGAGATTTAGTAACTGTGCAAGTTCCCTCAGACTGCAACTTAAAGGAGTTTTCCAACAGAAATTTTCCTGTTGCTGTAATCTGCCATTGTATGTAAGAAATTGAGGTGTTAACCACAGTCTCCCTTTCATCAGTGAAGTTTCACTAGTGTTTTCACTCATTCTAAGCTTCTCTTGAGACTGTGCTGCTGCTCAAATGGATGTTCCAGCCCTGCTGCCCCCAGCCTTCACTGACTGTGTGCTTTGTTGATTCCTTGTGTCAGCCCTGGAGATTGTGTCCATAGGATGCTTGGGCTTAGTTTAGTAGTTTGACTGCAAATTAGCCATGTGAGGAACAATGATGAATTTTCAGTATGGGTAGATAACCAGTGTGACTTGCAGCCTGGCTGCACGAGGGCGAGGGCTGTGCAGCAGGATTGGAGGGGAAGGCTCCTTTTGGGGACAGCCTCCTTTTGCATTGGCTGGAGTCACTCACTGTAACCACAGGGGTGAACTGTATTAATTCCAGGTCATTCCCTGCCCTGAAATAGGGATGGTGACCTTGGCCTTAACTGCTTGCTGGACAGATGACAGATGTGGTGGCTGGGCTGCATTAGTGGGAGGTGTACTGTGTATCCAGCTCCTCTTAATTTCATACACTGTTTGAGATGGGCAGAAAGCTTTCAGATCTGTCCCAGTTGCCCCAGTCTTGTTTAAAATGCATGAAGCATTTGACTCCCTCTAAGAGGATGTGTAGCATGAGAGATATCTCTCTGATAATAGACTTAAGGTAAGAGAGGGGAAAGGAGGAATTTTTAGCCTATATCCTTGGCTATGTTCTCTTGGGCAATTCTAAAGGATTCATTTCTCTCATTGCTGTCTAACAGCCTTCAAATATTACTGTTGGACACCATTTCTTGTCCATAAAAAGTTCTTTCCTTATATTTCATTTTTCCTTATAAGCTAGTTTCTCCAGCCTTAAATCTTTGGTGTTTATCTGTAATGTCTTCAGTTTATTGTAGCTTTCTTATAATAAACCATCCACAATTGAAAACTCCATTTGTATGCTTTAAAATTCAGAGATCTTTCCTCTGGCACAAGGAAACTTATCAAAGTAAAGCTTATAGTTTGGTTGAATAAAATGAAATGTTACTCTGTTTCTCCATATAAACACATTACCCTAAATATCTTTGTTAATGCTGGGGCATTTACATAATCTAATCAGACAAAGAGAGTTGGAGCTGAAAAAGATGCTTAAACAAGAAAAAAAAGTAGAAATAATATATTTTGTAACTCTTTCTATGAGAGTAACTCTATTAAAACAAGGTGCTATCTTTGTGGGATGGCAGAGAGGGGCTAACTTGCAGTCTTGAGACAATATGGATAGGGGTGTATCTCCTTTCAAATACTGAATTATTATATTGCTGGTAATTAGAGAAGGTGCTGTGGTTGTTTCATTGAATGTAAAGTAACAAAATTACCGAAAAAAAAATAGTTTATATGCAGTGTTTTCCCTGTTAACTTCCTCAGCTCAGGGTGGAAAGAAAGAAATCCAGGTCTAGTGTGTTACTGTGTCTTCGAGCAGCTGAGCAGTTTTATTCGTTTTTGACCTCCAGGTGGCAACCACGCCAAGCCTTGTGACTAGCAGTGCAGCTACAACCCTGACTGTCAACCCCGTGCTCCCTCTGGCCAGTCCTGCTGTCACCAGTCTGTCAGTCACAGGTAAGGGCTAATCTCTGCTGCCATCACATCAACCCCTACCGTTTGTCCCTTTTGAATTCTTAAAAGAGTCGTTCACTTATTGGTCACTGATATCCCAGGACATGCTTGTCACTGTTCCTTGTTGCTGCACTAGGAATCTTCAATTTTTGTGACCACTGAGTTGACTTTTCCAGGAATTAAATCACACGTGGTGCTGAAACAAAATATGTCGTGTTTCATTGCTGGCTTGTAGAGCTCCTCAGCCTCCCATTGGGAAGTGTCATTTCATTTTTTCATTTGAACTCTTGGTGCTTCTTGGTACTACAGAAATGTGTGTTTGTGCCCCTTTGAGCTGGACGTGCAGTTGAGATCAGGTGGGCAGGAGTTTCTGTTCTCTGCTCTGTGTGTTTTGTACTGATCTGACCAGAGCCAATCTTTCAGGCACTACAGAAACCACCTCCAACAACACGGCAACAGTGATTTCAACAGCACCTCCAGCTTCTTCAGCAGTGACATCACCCTCCCTGAGTCCTTCCCCTTCTGCCTCAGCCTCCACTTCAGAGGCATCCAGTGCCAGTGAGACCAGCACAACACAGACAACCTCCACTCCCTTGTCCTCCCCTCTCGGGACCAGCCAGGTGATGGTAACGGCATCAGGGTTGCAAACAGCGGCAGCGGCCGCCTTACAAGGAGCTGCACAGTTGCCTGCAAATGCAAGTCTTGCTGCCATGGCTGCTGCAGCAGGACTAAACCCAGGCTTGATGGCATCCTCGCAGTTTGCAGCTGGGTAAGGATCAATTTTGCACACCCTTCTAGGTGAGGTGGCAGAAGGGTGAAGGAGAATCCCTGGGATAAATTGCTTTTACGTATCGCTGTCATTTATCTCAGATCTGAAGGTTTACTCATAGATGGCAATTGGTCATTCCCATCACAGTACGCAAATACTGTGTTCATTTTAAAGGTGAAAAAGCTGTGTTGCAGTGATGTTGTTGTTTGATAAATCATTCATCCCACTGCAGAGCTTGACTTAAAAACTGCAAGTTACCACTGAATCATAGAATCTGTCTTATTGTAAAATGGAGAGATAGCCTAGACCCACTTTACACCTATGTGTGTACACTCATTTCTCCATAGTGAGCAAGAAGTTCTCAAAGATACAAGATGATGTATTGTTGAAGTTGTAATTTTAGAAATGTTGCTCAGACAGATGTGTCTTTAATTCCTCTTGATTTACATATTTCTTACCTGCATTTGCGAGAGGATGATAGTTCTCTAACGATCAACAGTTTTCTAAAATACTTTACAAGAATATTTTACACCAACAATCAATGCAAATCATGTATTTACAGCGCTTTGTACTTCAGTAATGTCATGAACCCCTCACGGAGTTAAAAGTAAAATAATCCAAAACCAACCCTTAATCTCTGGTCTTTTCTCCCTCCTTGCCCTCCCCCGTGCCTCCCCCTTTTTAAAAAGTATGATGGTGTGCTTTTAAACAGTGACAACCTTTTCTTAAAACACTCTTTCTCTTTTCTACTTCTTCTTGCTTGCTGCAGAGGTGCCTTACTCAGTCTCAATCCAGGGACATTAGGTGGTGCTCTCAGCCCGGCCCTGATGAGCAACAGTACACTGGCAACTATTCAAGGTCAGTAGTGCTCCTTTTAATGCACCTCTGTCACACAACTTCGGTTTATGTGCTCTGGTTTTGTCTACCAGAGAACTGACTCCTCAGCACTGGGCATAAATTGTGTAAGAGTCAAGGTTTTACAAAATTAAATGTGCAAATACATTTTGTGGATCACAGAGATGAGAGCAGGTACAATTTCAGATAGGGAATCAGAACTGTGTATGATCTTACAGTGATTTAAAGGAGGCATTTGAGATGCTGAATATAATCTGGCATTTATTTAGTTGTCCTTGCCTCATTGGCCCGTATCTGTAGCAGGTTAGAGATTTGCTTTTTATAGCTCTTCTATAGTCTGCTTGTGCAGATTTGCACCATTATAAGGTCTCTTGGGAGGGCAGTTCTGAGCAAGTCTTGATCCTGAATTCTCATCTTCATATGTACTTGAAAAGTACAACAAACATCCTGCCTCCTAAAATCCTTACGTAGAACTTGAAATACATAAATCCACATTCGGAAGAGGAAATATTTATTTGTTTTGGAAGTAGCAAATAGCCAGAAGTTACCACTGGCTTTAGCAAGAGTTGTTCTGAGTTCATAGTTTGCTACCTGTAAAAACTGGGTGGTACAAGTGTCTGAAGAGCTAGGTAACCTGTGTGTTCAAATTTCCTTTAAACTAGCTGAACAAATCTTGTTTCTAGGTTGCAAGAAAGAACCATTTCATAAAGTGTCACAGATAAATTTAGGAGATCATAATGTAAGGCAGACTGAATGCTGTAGACCCGTGAGAGTAAGTTGTAACAGTGGTTGGTTATATGTCAACATTTAAAATGTTACACTCAAGGTTACATGACCTTCTCCGTCTTGTGATAGCTGTCATTTCACATGAGCCCTCATCTCAACCCTGCCTAGTGCAAGTTGCCTGGATGTACAGGCTTTGTGTGGCAGGAAACACAGACCAGTATTGTGCTAAAAGAGCCGAAGAAAGGCACAGTGGAATTATTTAGCAGCAAATGAAAGGAGCATTTTAGTATCTGCAAGATCTTGTCTGATAGTTATTTTGAAAAAAAAAAAACAACAGAGCAGCCCGTGATGAGGCAACTGTCCTCTGATTTAGAGAGCACATATATCAGAGAAAGGCAGATGCAGAGACCTCTTGCTTTTAGGCACTTTTTTTTGCATTGTTGCTTACTGCTAATGTTATCTCCTCCCTGCTCAACTTTCCCTTTTTTTAGCTCTTGCATCTGGTGGCTCTCTTCCAATAACATCACTGGATGCAACTGGAAACTTGGTGTTTGCCAATGCTGGAGGTACCCCTAACATCGTCACTGCCCCTCTGTTCCTGAACCCTCAGAACCTTTCTCTGCTCACCAGCAACCCAGTTAGCTTGGTCTCTGCAGCTGCAGCCTCCGCAGGGGCCTCTGGACCAGTCGCCAGCCTTCACGCCACCTCCACCTCAGCCGAGTCCATCCAGAACTCTCTCCTCACCGTGGCCTCTGCCAGCGGGGCCACGTCCACCACCACTACTGCCTCCAAGGCACAGTGAGCCGGGCTGGGCTGTGCTCCAGCAGCCTGGGTCACTGTGCGCTGGGATCGGCTGCCAGCCCGGTCGATGAACTCAAAATGCCATGGGCATCTCTCGCCGTGTTGCTGGGGACAAGAGAGAGAGAGAGAGAGAAAAAGAGAGAGAGAGAGAAGGAGAAATATTTAAAAAACCACAAAAAAACAAAAAACACAAAAAAAAAAAAGGAGAAAAAAAAAAACAAAAGCAAAACAGGAAGGATTTAAAGCTGGGACAGACATTTGCCTAATTTTATAATAAACACTGTCTTTTCAGGATCGCTTCATGGATCGGAGAACTTTCTAACCAAAAATGTAAAAAAAAAAAAAAAAAAACCACAAAAAAACTAAAAACCACAAAAACACAAAAAAAGTGAAAGGACTACTTATCATTTCCAGCAGTCACAATGACAAGTTAAGGTGGGTTATCAGTTCAAACATAGGAAGGGGATTTCTTGGTTTTTTTGGTCTAAATATCTTTCTTTTTTAATTATCGTTTTATAGGTCTGTTGTACAGGCCATTATGTCATACAAGGTGTTTATAATCGTATCAATCATGTTGGGGGTTCCTTTCTTAACTGGTACAATTTAGGCAGGCCTGTATTACTGGTGTATCTCTATTATTATTATTATGATTATTATTATTATTATTTTTATATATATAGTTTGGACGCGTTTGTCTTTTGCTCCTGGATTATTTTCAGCGAGCTCCCACACCATGGGGGGAGGGCGGGGGGTGGAGAGGAAGAATGGAGCACAAATAGACTTTCTGTCCTAATCTTCTGGAAATGTTCTGAACAGTTTCCTCATCCTTGAATTTGTCTAATGCCTACTTGTAGGGGTCAGAAGAAATTATGTTCCACGTTTGTGCAGGAAGCTCAGTGCAGCAGCAGAGATCATTGTGTGCAAACTTCCAGGCTGGTCTCTGCTTTTTAAGCAGAGGTAGGAATTAGCTCCAAACTGCCGTTCTCCTTCTCTCAAATATTTAGACAAAATGGCCAAATTCTGCTCTTGGCATCCCGTGCTTGCTTCCTTTTACTTCAGAGAGCGGGAAGTGACTTCCCGAGTGTGGATTGTGTGACAATACCTATGGCTCTTCTGTTCCAGTGATTTCGTTTTGCTGTGCAAGAGCACACACAAATATTTAAAAAACATCATGACCCAGGCTAATTGGCAGCACGTGAAGCAGCATTTACAGTCCTAGATACCCTCTAGGTGAGTTGGTACCAGATTTCAGAAGGTCATATTCTCCCCATTCATAGCAATATTCCTTTTCTGATGCTTCCAACACTATTTAGAAGAGCTTCCTAGTAAGAGAAAAAAAAATGCTTCTGGCTGCAAAAGACAGAAGCCAGGAATATGGGAACAGAAGGTGCCATTGTTAATGCCAACACAACAGAGCCACTCTGGGGCTTTGCACACCCTGGACTGATCTCATGTGGTCTCTGAGCTGCAGGGTGAGGGCAGCAGTCTGAGGCTCTGGCCGGTGTCCAGGGCTGGCCTGGCACTGGAACTCACTTTTTAAGGCTGATTCTGATCTGTGGAGCAAAGGATATTTTTGTGGATGAGGAAGGAGTAATGAACTGTACAGAAGTTAGATCCGTATATTCTTAAATATACAATCTAGTATCTGAACCAAAAAAAAAAAGATTTTTAAAGAGAGAAGACTGGATCACTGCAATGCAGTTCACGTTGAACTTACCATTCCTGATGGATTTAAAGGTTTCTGCCATGTGTATAAAACTAAATTACTTTTAGCTAGTGAGGGTATTAGAAGAGTCCCTTTCCCACCCACCCCCTTTTCTTTTGTCACCAGAGTGTCCTAAAATAATGAGCTGATGCAGCTACGTTCATTTTGTTGATGATTCAGGGGGATCCTGGAGCTTCTCATCCAAGATCCAGAAGGCAGCAACTTTAAACTCTACCCATGCTTTGGTTTGTGGCCTGAGCATGTGGGATTTGTGTTTGCACTCAAGTGGCAGAACCCCTTATCTCTCCCCCCACCACCATGGTTTTGCTCTGTTCATCTCTAACTCTCCACCTTCCTGTTTTACTGATATTTAAACCAATTACCCCTAAAACTTCAAAACTAGTGAACTGCAAGCAGGGAAACTAACAAATGTCCGTCCACCGTTTCTTATGTGTTTTTGATTTTTTTATGTTTTATTTTTTTAAAACTAAGCTTGAACCAAAGTCAATTTCTAGCAAGCTGCTGTACTAATGGACTAGTTTGTGTAAGTGCAGTTCAGATGCAGAGAGGCGATAGATGCTACTGACAATTTCTTTTTCATTTGTCTTTTGTTTTTATTAATTTTATATAAAAGTTGCTGCTTGTTTTTAATCTTTTTTTTTTTTTTTGGTTGGTAATTTGTGTTATCCTTGGGGCAGACTCTTAACTTGATTTTAATTTGTTTTCTTTTATTTGATGTGTAAATAGAATGGCAATGTCAGAGGATTGTTAATCCAAGAGGTCCCACCTTTACCCCCCCGCCCCCGGTATGGATGAATCTCAGTATTTTTGATGCGTCTCTACGTCTTCAGGCCGTGCAGGAGACTTAGGGCTATGAATAATACTGTAAGAATGGCAATGGCCCACAGTAAAAGCTTCAGAGCAGCGACAGGTACAGCTGGGTGAGCTTCAGGGAGGTAGGGAAAAAGTAGAAGAGAAGATGCTGGTACCCACTGTGCTGGTCTGGAGGCCACAGCACGGTCTATAGTTTTTACCAAAGGAATGCAAGTCCTTGGACTTGTTTTGAGTGAAGTAAGAGGATGGGGAAAACCGCAGCTGTAGCGTTTGTTCCTGACTCTGAAAGTCCCTGCTTACTTTCACACCTGTGCAAAAGTACAATTTATCAGGAAGCTTTTTTTTTGTTCGAGGGAGGAGACCACCGGGCTTGTCTCCGATGGATCCCCTCCTCCCCAGGGGTTTTGTGGTGGGGGTGGGGGGCGTGGTCCTTGCAGATATCTAGGAAACACAAAGAAAGGTGGGCCTTAAATCAATGGAAAATCCTCTCTCCACAGTTCCAGGAGACTGTGCCATTAGCTGTCTGAATGAGTTTTCATGTCCCATTCTTGCTGGTTTGTGGTTGGGAGAGGGTCTTGTTGAGTACATATCTGGAACACTAATGCAGCTTGGATGGTTTATTTATTATAAAAATCTGCTTTTTTTCCTGACTACCTTTGCATTGGTCACATGGCTTTGGTGTGAGCACCTTATACCCCTTTACCCTCCTCTTCTCTACCCCATCACCCTATCTGGGGCCCAGATTCCAGGGAATTTCTTAGCGAGTTTTTTTCTGAGAGAAACTGGAAACTCAGAGTAGCCACATATCCATAAAAGCTTGCTTTTGTTTGCAGAAGCTGACATAATACCCAAACAGCACATATCCCATGGCATCCATTGCCAGTGTGCTCCGATTCATTGATCCCTGAAACATCCCTGTGACTGACTGACTGTTGTTCCTGGAGCCTACTTTTCATCCCTATCATCATTTTTCCTCATGGATGCTGGCTACCTCCAGTGTTTAGGTGAAAGAGAGGAATCAGACTGGCAATGGGTGTACATCTGCCAAGTTAGAGCACATGTGCTCCTTCAGAGAATGAAAAGAATGTGAGACCAGAATTTAGCAGAAGTTTCTTTTTAAATCATCATCATACTGGCAGCAGAAATTGATGCATCTGAAAAGAAACAATAACAATTGTGTACAGACCCGGTAAATATGATCACAAGAAGTTTGTGTTGGAAAAGGATAATAGCATCTCTTTTTCAGAGTTCCATGTCTCTGTATTTAAAGGTGAGAGGGTTGCTTTTCATAGTTGCAAGCATAGTCAAAGTACCCAGGCAAGAAAAGAGAAGGTGAAAAACTCTCCCTGCAGACACGAATAGTTCAAAAAGCAGGAGATTTCCAGGGACACAAACACAGATATGCCCGGAAGGTCGAAAATAATTTAGAGAATGGCTTCAGGAGTTGGTCTTGTAGCTTGGTGATGACATTTTTTTCCTGATCTTAAGAAAAACGTGTTTTGCTTTAGCACACTTTGACTTTAGCACACTTGGTCTCCTTAGAGCCCACTCTCCATAGTCACTGTGGAAGGATTCACTGACAGCCCAAAGAAAGCACACACAGGTGTGGCTGCTTACAATCATTACATCTGCTTAGATTTCCTACAGAGCAGGGGGGCAGGAGCTGGGCACTCTTCCAGTCCAGGGACCCTCCAGATGCCTTGAAGTCCCCTCTGGGGTGCCAGAACTGATGCCTGGAAAGGCTGACCTGGAACAGAGACTAGCCTGGGCAAAAGGGATAAAATAGGAATTTATTGAAAGGATACACCTTGGGCAGTGCAAGAGCCTGGCTGGGGCTGCACCCAAATCAAATCCAAGATGGATCCTGGTCACGAATTTTTACACTTTTATAAGTTTTGGTTCATCCACACATTGGGGTCAATTGTCCAACCACAGCTCCAGGCCATGAAGTCTCAGCCCCATGGCTTGCCCCCTTCCCTTGGCTGTTTTTACTTTTTGGGTAGAGTTATCCTTGATTCTCTGGCTGGGTAGGGATTGTTTTGTCTAAATATCCTGTAAAGAGAACTTACTAACACCTAATATGAAGTTTCAGAGTTACACACCAAGCAGCAGAGAATCTGAAAAATATAAAAGCTAGTACATTTTTATCATTCACTGTGAGGTGGTGTGGATGTGCACATAGACATCTCTTGGAGCTATGACCTAATGTTCAAATGCCCCCTCTGTAAGCCTCACACAGGGTCCTTTCACACATTTCTGCAGTTGAGTTAGTGAAGGAGACAGGAGGACTAATTCCTTAACCCTGTGCACATGCCTGCAGAGCAGAGTTCCTAAAAACAGGAATTCCCTCTTTTTTTGTTGTTGTTGCAAATGGAGCAGTACAACCATTACAGCTAGAGCCATACCACAGATACTAAACCAAAGCAACATTTAATTTACCTTAAATATCAATTCATATTTTCTTAGATGAAGAAATATATAAAGATACAGAATGGCTTTAAAGAGACAGGTAGCTTCTCCTGGTCATTAGAGTGTTTGAGGACAGATAAAATAATGCCTAGTCCAAACTTTCAATGATATTTGGTTTTCAACTGGAAGTTTAAAATGTAGATGTTTTTATTGTCACATTAACTTTATGAAGAGTCACTATTCCCTCTTCCTGCTTTGCCTGAAATGGTTAAATGCTGTTTCTCCACACCCTGTACCCCAGCAGGGCCTGTCTGTCCCTGTTGGATGTTGCCTAGGGTGGAGTATTACCAAAGGACTAAGCTGGCCTGCTGCCCCCCACTGCATTTATGGTTGTCAGTTCTCACACAGCCAGCTCAAATCCCTTTCTATTTTTGTAGCCAGTACATCTGCTCTCTCCCTCCTAAAGTACTAAAGCAATATAGAATTCAAGATACCTACCTTGCACAAGTTCTGCCCTTCTCACTCATTAAATCTCTTGTTGCTGCTTGTTTCTCTCTTCTTTCCAGAGGGGAGTCCCCTAAAATACTTTAAATATATTTGACAGGGGAGATTTTGTCCAAACGTTGTTGGCTCACAATTCACAGTTTCTTAAGATGCTCATATCTTTGTCTCCACAATGCGAGTTCCCTCTGTGTCAGTGCAAGTAGTTTCAGTGCTTTTGGAACGATGAAAAGCAATTCCTCTCTTTGCATATCTTCACACATGGACACAGTAATGCATGGAAAAAAACCTTGATTTTTTCAATTTATCTATATCTGCATTTAATCTGTCTGCCACTTCTCCTAGGATACTCCAAGTGGGGACTGGCTCTGAATTTTTACCCATTGGGATGCTGTTAGGAAGGTGTTAGGGAGATTGCACTGAAATTACAAATAGTTTAACTGTGGGAGAAAAGACATCTTTTACTCAAGTAAATAAGGTCAATATGTAGAACGTATCAAGTACTTCTTTTCTGACCAAAATCTTAAACATCAAGCAGCTACTGAGCTTTGTCTTGGGGCTACTTTTAGGTCCATCAGTGCTAAGAACCGTCCATAACTGGAATAATCTGGGCCCCCTTTCTCCCTCCCTGTCTCCATCCCTCTGCCTCTTTCCCTCCTTGCTCCTTCCCCGTCTTCCCTCAGCGAAAGGTAGCACCATACAGCTCTGAGAACAATACTTGTGGGTAGCAGCTGGCTTCTGGCACCTTCATAAAATACCTCAGCATAGCTTAGCATTGTCGCAGAACTGGTTTTAAACTGAAAAAATCAGAAGAGAAAAGCAAACTTTATAAATAGTGGAGATAATTCTAGCTGTAGAGTTTAGTTGAACTGATGGTTTATTATGATTGATAAACATGATTATGCTGTATGTATTTGAGATCCTGTTTATAGGTTACAACTTTATAGGGTCGGGTGGGGGTGGGTGGATGTTGGGGGCAGAGAAGGGGGTTTGACTGTGTTAGAAGGAAAATGTTTGCTCATAAATTTTTTTCCTCGTATCTGTCTTGCCAAAGGAAACATTTTGTCGCTCCTGGGTTTGGGATTGTTGTTTGGTTGGTTTATCTGTGGTCTAATCTGCAGCACAGCACGTGGTGGCATGCAGGTTACTGATGGGGTTGCTGTTCAGGGTCCTTTCGAGTGTGCGCACACTTCCCTCCCTCTCGGCCTTTCCTT